TTATTTATTTATTTATTTATTTATTTATTTATTTATTTATTTATTATTTATTTATCTATTTATCTATTTATATTATTTATTTATTTATTTATTTATTATTTATTTATTTATTTATTTATTTATTTATTTATTTATTTATTTATTTATTTATTTATTTATTTATTTATTTATTTATTTATGTATTTATTTATTTATTTATTTATTGTCATGTCATGTTTTTAGCGCATTTCCACAAAAGTAAAATAAAAATGCGCTATTGTGGCCACTTTGTCCGTCCGTCCGTTCGCTCGTTCGTTGAGACGCTCCTAGTTCTTTATCTTAAGAGTTATTGTTCTACTTTTTTCGCTATTTGGTTCGTTATGGTGTCGAGGCTTACACCAAGGAAGGAATTTTTTCTGCATTTATTGCTAAAATAGTTATTGTAAAAAAAACCAACAAACCGTTTTTTACATGTTCCATAATTTTACACTTTTGCCGTTTATTAACGATCCTAGAGACGTTTATAATTTTGTATTGCTATCTGTCGTCTATCTGTTGGTCTGTCCGTCTGTTCCTTTGTCTGTCTGTCCCTCTATCTGCCCGTGTGAACGATAACTTTGTTTAGAAATGTCTGATCGCGTTGACTCCCCATTAGTTATGAACTGAATTGCATGAAATCCAATATGGGCATAGATTTAGCCATACGTATAATACGCAATGGCAAAAGTTGAGTCGAATCGATTCAAAATTCACAGTGCCCTTTTCGCATCTCGACCATTTATAAACCGAATGGCAAATTTTTTTATTTATAAAAGTATTTGAATGAAATTGATACATAGGCACTTGGAATAAATGAAAATCTAACGCCAGTTTCAAAATTTGGTTTTGCGCATGCGCAGTGCCAACTTTTTTATTTATGGAAGCATTTACATGAAATTTGAAACATACGCGCTTGGAACAAAGGCAAATCTAACGTTATTTTCAAAATTTAGATTTGTGCATGCGCAGTTCCAACTTTGTTATTTAGAAAAGCATTGAAATGAAATTCTTCTTATAAACTGAAATTGAAGTAGCACGTGAAAAATGGATTGCACATTTGCAACGCTATCTTTCATATTTGTGGCCGGATTTTTACGATTTTAACAGAAGTTGCATCTTACAAATGGGAAATGCGCTTTTTGTAAATCGTTTACGATTACTTTTTAACTTGTTTTCTATTGGTTTAAGCGAATTGGTATATTTTGCTATGGTTACAATAACATTATTGTCACAATTATTTTTTTTTTTTTCTTTTTTTCCTATTATATACACTCTTAACAGTGTACGCATCGATTGCCACAATTGTTTCCAAGGCAATGACTTCATTACCTGGGTTTTCATATTGATTTGCACCAATCCGGTGCATTTGTTTAAACATGTCGGATCTCCTATTCAACAATACAAAATAACACCTTGTAACGGCAGTTACATCTGGTATTCATACGATTAAATTTGTTCAATTTGGAATAATACCAAATTTTCACAAAAAGAATTTTTTCCGCCGACTAGCTTACGATTATTAAACGTGATTGCAAATACCACCAAAGGAGAATGGAAGTTACTTTTCTCTTTTACCTGAATTTTTAACATGTCGCCCCTTGTAATGGGTGGTCGCTTTAGAATATCAAAAGTATTTTTTTTGAATTTGTATGCACCGCTTCATAGCCAACGTAAACGAAAGTATGTTTGGCGATAAAAAGGACCTTATTGGGACAAGCGAGCGCAGTTGCCACGATTTCTTCGAACCTTTGAGTTTCGTTCCGTTATGTTTAAAGCCGAACACGTGACGCAAATGCACGTCAGTCGAGGCCAGATTTAAATAGCGAGAGAAGTGGGAGAGCGGGCGATTCTTGGTTGAATTAGCAAGTCGAACAATTATTTTAAATCCATCCACGTGTACAGAAAAATGGAATTTGATTGCCTTTGTTTTTCTTAATATATTCAATCAATTAAAGTCCTACACGTAGGTATGTTTTAGAGTTCAAACAAACCTGAGCATTAGGTTTTGAATTTAAAATTTTAAGAGGAGATAAAAAAATCAATCAAAGCGGATATTTGTTATACTGAGCTAGCCGAGGGCAAATTAAAAATTAATTGTTATTTTAAATTTTTTGCCAGTGGTCTCCACAGGTTCAATTTTATTCTTTGCAAGTGTGGTCTTCAACCCTTGTAGTATCTAAACCCGTTAGACTCTCTGATTGAACTCGCCTGATTGAAAATCAATACAAATCTCCAAATAGCAAAAAGCAAATACTTGTACTAAAGCTGCTCTTTTGTTAAGTAGCCACTTTCCTTTTATTTGAACCAAATTTAGTTTCCCATTTGCTATAATATATAATACTCCATTATAACCTTAAAATCTAATCCTTCAACGCAGTTAGAAATCCTTTTAATCAATTTTATAATCAAACAAAACGAACAATTACTTTTTCTAAATGGGTTAATACAAAAATTCACATACAATTTAGTTTTTCTTGTTTTCCGTTTTAATGCATAAAATTTATTTATGAAAAGGTGTCAATATAAGAAAACTCCTTTGTACTTTAAAAAACAACGACCATATCCTTAAGGTTACTTTATTAAGCGGCAGAGCAAAGCGATGCAAGCTTTATACGGGAGTCGATGGTGTCCGTCTGTCCGTGAACACGATAACTATCAAACGCTTGGACCGATTTGGTTCAAATACTTTGCACGGTTGACTTATATGCTACAAGTAATAAGCCTATTGAAAATGGGTCAAATCCAATGACCCCGTGGGGTTACGATTCTCTGTCCCTGCCAAACGCTTGAACCTATTTGGTTGAAACTTTGCACAGTAGACTTATATACCATATGTAACAAGTCTATTGAAAATGGGTCAAATCCAATGACTTCGTGGGGTCACACCGAGGTGCTCTGCCGCTTTTTTAAACGCTCTCTATGGGTTTTATTAATATCTGATTGACAAAGGAGTTCTTAAAAACCCCAAGTAGAGAACGAGTTCCCTCTTTTTTGCACGTAGCTGGAATACCGATTCTAAAGACCCCTAAGCTTACTAAACCGAAATGTATTCACGCCAGACCCCGCACTCGATAATGAAACTTTCCAGTCGTAATCCCCTGTGTAACTTCCCAGGGGTTAGTTTGAATTTGTTCACTCCACTCAACAGGTAATCACTTCGTACAAACTTAGGGCGACATTCTCGGTTTTACTCGCGCTTGATCGTGGCTTCCAACTAATTGGCCGTTTAAGCGTAATTTTTCTTCTTTATGGTCGCGCTTTCGTGGCTTGACGCTTAATATGTCCCAAGAAACCTTCAACGGACGCAACCCCACGATATTATTTTTCAACAAATACGTCGGGTGTGAATATTCTCTACTATGCATCTAAGCAATTTGCCAAAACCCTCGAGTTCTGCCACCTCTACTACCCCGAAACCTCGGGCTCGGCACTGCTAAAAACAATTTGAAATCTCCTCTACGCCAATGTGTCATTGCTACTCCAACGATCCACACGTAATTTGAAGGCGGAAAAGATGTCACACAGCAAAGATTGAAATAATTCTATTAAATTAAACTGCATTATGACACTGAACTGTTCTTTTAGGCCGTGATGGACGACGCGAATCGATGTAAAAATAAAATGAACCAAGCCAGTGCGCTAATCGACGGTTTGAGTGGCGAAAGGGTGCGTTGGACAAATCAATCGGCACTTTTCAAAGCCGAAACCGAAAGGCTGATCGGTGACATCGTCATTCTCGTCGGATTCCTCAGTTACTCGGGTCCGTTCAATCAAGAGTTTAGGGTACTTCAGCAGCAGGTCTGGCTCAACGCACTTCTCAATCTGAAAATACCGGTCTCAAACGACATTAACATTACGGATGCTTTAATCGATACAGCGACGGTAAGGGACTAATTGGGCGTATAGGATTTCAAATGGTTTCTTGCAGATTGGCGAATGGAACTTGCAAGGTTTGCCAACGGACGATCTGTCTATTCAAAATGGAATTATCGTTACACGAGCGGCGAGATATCCTTTGTTAATAGATCCGCAGAGTCAAGGAAAGAATTGGGTAAAGAATATGGAAAAAGACAACCACTTAATTGTTACCACACTAAACGATAAGTATTTCAGGTACAGTATCTATCATTTTCTTTCAATAGATCACGTCGCCCATAGTTTGTATAAGACTTTTTCTACCTCTATCTATCTTGGAGTTGGAAACTATTTGAAAATCTATATTTAATGCTCACACATTAATTTCATAGGAACTACATAGAGGATTCGGTCTCGCTAGGTTATCCAATGCTAATCGAGGACGTATTGGAGGAGCTCGATCCTGTGTTGGATAACGTGATGGAGAAAAATCACATTAAAGTAGGCTCGAGCTACAAGGTCAAGGTTGGAGACAAAGAAGTTGATTATCATCCGAGCTTCCGGCTTTATATCACTACAAAACTGGCGAATCCCAATTACAGTCCCGAAATTTACGCGAGAGCGTCGATCATCGACTTTACCGTTACAATGAAAGGTCTCGAAGACCAGTTATTGGGAAGGGTGATACTGACGGAAAAGAGGGAACTGGAAACCGAACGAACGAACTTGATTAAGGACGTGACTGCGAACAAGAGGAAAATGCTGGAACTGGAGGCTAACCTGTTGTATAAGTTAACGACAACTCAGGGTTCGTTAGTTGATGATGAATCCGTCTTGGAGGTGCTGAACGTGACCCAAAACACCGCCGCAGACGTGCGCGAGAAGCTGAACGTTGCTAAGGAGACTGAGACGAAAATCAATGCAGCTAGGGAAGAATTCCGAGCTGTTGCTAGACGCGGAAGTGTCTTATACTTTTTGACCACAAGCATGGCAATGGTAAACTGTATGTACCAAACTTCCCTGGAGCAGTTCTTAGAAAGATTTGATATATCGATGCACCGTTCAGAAAAAACTCCGATCACATCTAGACGCATTAACTTCATCATTGAATACATGACGTATGAGATTTACAAATACAAATCGCGAGGTTTATACGAAGTGGATAAGTACATGTTTGTGCTCCTTCTGACACTTAAAGTAGATATGAATCGCAATTATGTCACTCACGAAGAGTTTCAGTATTTGATTAAGGGAGGTGCTGCTTTAGATCTAAATGCTTGTCCTCCAAAGCCGGCGAAATGGATCACAGATACAACCTGGCTTAATCTCGTGGAACTCGCAAAATTGTACCAATTTCAAAACATTTTGACCCAGGTGGAAAACAACGAGCGGTCTTGGAAGGCGTGGTTCGACAAGGATGCGCCGGAAGATTCTCCGATTCCGGATGGTTACCTTTCTTTGGATCCCTTTAAAAAATTGTTAATGATCCGCGCGTGGTGTTCCGATCGTACTTTAACTCAAAGTCGCAAATATATAGCCGCGTCGATGGGACAGCGTTTTGCCGAACCGATAATACTAAATATGGAAGCTCTCCACTCGGAAAGCCGACCCTCGACCCCGCTCATTTGTTTCTTAACAACCGGCGCAGATCCAACTCCTTACATTGAACAGTTGTCGAAGAGAATGGAAAATATGACCAAATGTATGTCGATGGGACAAGGTCAGGAGATACACGCTAGGAAGCTTTTGGCACACGCCATGAGTGAGGGCTACTGGGCGTTACTACAAAACTGCCACTTAGGATTGGAGTATATGATGGAAATTTTACTCATCTTCCTTGAACTGGAAAAAAAGGGGGGCGCCGGAGCTCACCCCGATTTTAGACTGTGGCTCACCACTGAGGTGCATCCGAAATTCCCGATCAGCTTGCTGCAAATTTGCATTAAATTCACAAATGAACCGCCGTCTGGCATTCGTGCTGGTCTCATGCGCACGTATGGATCCATGAACCAAGACATGCTGGACAAAAACGACCAATGGCAGTATCTTCCCCTCATTTACGCAATCTCCTTTCTGCACACCGTTGTGCAGGAACGTCGCAAGTTTGGACCGTTAGGATGGAATATACCTTACGAGTTTAACTCCGCCGATTGGCTCGCCAGTTGCATGTTTTGTCAAAATCATCTCGACGATGTCGATCCCTTAAAGGGCCCCAGCTGGAGCACCATTAGGTACAAATCTTTGAATTAAATCCGAAGGTAATCGTTGTCCTAGGTATATGATTGGAGAGGTGCAATATGGAGGTAGAGTGACCGACGACTATGACAAGATTCTACTGAACACTTTTGCTCAAGTGTGGTTTACCGATGGGATGTTCAATGAAGACTTCTGTTTTTACAGAGGATATAAAATTTTTAGGTTCAAGCAACTTGCCGACTACTTCAAAGCGTTTGAGGATATGCGTCCGACCGATCCTCCGCAAGCTTACGGATTGCATCCCAATGCCGATATAACGTAGCACCACATTTGATTTTATGAATACACAGCCTTATTTGCTTAGGTACCAAACCAATGTAACTACGACCATGCTTCAGACGATTTTGTCGATTCAACCAAAATCGTCTGGAGGAGGCGGGGAATCGCGAGAGTCTTCGGTGGCAAGACAAGCAACGGAAATGCTCGCAAAGGTGCCATCCGATTACGATCCTTACGAAGTTAAAGAGCGGTTACGGATTATGGGGATCTTAAAACCATTAAATATCTTCCTACGCCAGGAGATTGACAGAATGCAACGGGTCATTAAACTTGTACGAATTACTTTGAGAGACCTACTGTTAGCGATCGAGGGTACCATCATAATGAATGAGGTTTGTGTTATCAACGCATATTGGAATTAATATAATACCCGCAACCGTACAGTCCCTTAGAGATGCTCTAGACATGATTTACGACGCAATGGTACCGATGGTTTGGCGCAGAGGTTCTTGGTTATCCAGTTCGATTGGATTTTGGTTCACTGAACTTCTGGAAAGGAATGCCCAATTCAGAAGCTGGTGTTTCGTAACGAAACCTCCAGTGTTTTGGATGACGGGCTTCTTTAATCCCCAAGGTTTCTTAACGGCAATGACTCAGGAGGTAACCAGAGCGCACAAGGGTTGGGCTTTAGATCAGGTGGTCTTGCACAACACAGTCACTAAGTCCTCTTGTGAGGAAGTGAAATCCGGCCCTGCGGTAGGTGTGCATCGGAAATTCGTTGGTCACCTTCGTATTTTAGGAGGGAGTCTACATTCACGGTCTCTACATGGACGGAGCCGGATGGGATAGAAAAAATTGTCGTTTGGGGGAATCTATCAATAAGGTCTTATACACGCTAATGCCCGTTATACATGTCTTTGCCATTTTCTCAACTTCACCTAAGGATCCAGCTTTATACAAGGTAGGTGCAACATCGACATTTATAAGCAATTGTATACTGTTTTTGATACAGTGTCCCGTTTACAAGAAACCAAGACGAACAGATTTGAACTTTATAACTCCGTTATGGTTGGTAACGCTGAAACCTCCCCAGCATTGGACGTTAAGGGGCGTTGCACTTCTGTGTGATATTAAATAAGTGTTTTGTGTTAGTTATAGGTGTTTTTGTAGCAGTATACAATTAGCTCGATTCTAATAGTATCTACTTAGCGTTTTATTAATGTTTCTTTCATTCTTTGGCAAACAATGAATCAATTACAGCAAACAGCATTTGCGTTACTAAACAAATAAGCAAACAAATATCTAAAAATTTTAGCGCTTTAATAGGTAAGCTTTAATCATTTTTTAAACATTTTCTATAGGTATGTGTAATTGGATCATTATAATACATATATCACGTGCTACCTAACATTTGACCAATGTAAACCTTCAATTGATATCACAAATTAGAAATAAGCGAAATCACAGTAGTGAACGAACAGTAAGTAATACTTGAATTGGGATATAGGTCATACACCTACATTGTAAAGGGTTAGAAAAGCTAAAGGGTTGTTAGTGTACATCTCTTTACAATTTGTACGACTGTCGCATCATTAAGTCAAAGTAGCCATCACTGTCGATTGACGCACTTATTCCGCTATAGTAGTTTAAAAATTCTTCCAGTGTTACCTACAAACAAATAGATAATTATTGAGAAGTTGAGAAGAAGAGCTTACATGGCCATCTTTCGTGGACTCATCTTCAAAATTGGCTAGGAATTTTGTAAGTATTTGCTCTTCAGTTTCCTCTCCAGAGATATACCTAGGATTGTGTTTAATATTGTACACATTTCTAAGATCGTCTATAGTAATTTCGCCATCTTGGGTCTTATCCATTTTCTGAAAGGCTTCGTTGATAACCTTTTTTCTTGATTCGGACATGGGCGGCTGCAAATGAATGGGATTACTTAGCGTCGTAGGTAGTATAAAAAACAGTAATTTTACTACTTTTATCAAGAGAAGAGAATATATACGTTGTCGCGTAGAAACATGAATAAATTAATTTTCAAGATAAGCGCCGACAGAAAATGTCAACTTCTTTCTCTCTCACAGTCCCTCGCTTCTTTCTTTTAGTCGCGATCTATTATTTAAAAAAAATCGCGTTCTGAGGGGGTTCGAACCCGCGTCATCATAATCGAGGAGCGGCTATGTGGCAGTTGCGCTACGCTACGTCCTATTAAATATCGCGACGAACTAATAGGTATAATTAACATTGATTTTAAATTTATTTTATTTACTCGGCAGCTACAGCATACGCTTTAAATGTGTATATTAGTCAATTTCAAAAACATATCGACGGTTCTATTGCCATATTTCCTTTCAAATGTACAAATGCGCTTTACACAATTGTAAGGCAGGCCCGCTCGCCTTCGGCTGCCGAGCGTTACGCATGACTATATCCTGTGCATGCAAAGATTTTATTCTCGCCCAAAACATGTAATGCGCACCGATCAATAAGAATAAGTCATTCAAAAAGCTTCAGCACGTGCACCTCTTTTACACGGGGATACTGTATGAGGGATACTGTATGTCTGTATCTAAGATACAGTATGTCGTCAGAATTCGTGCCCAACACACCTCGTAAAATTTGAGCATTGAGATATTTTTTTGGTTAAGTATTTTCAGTATTAATGAAAAGTATCCAAGTGTAAACAGTTCCACATAACTCAACAGCCCATCGGTCTCTAAAGTCGTAAAATCGCCGGACGACTGGGACTAGAGAAAGGCCGAAATTTAGTCGCCGATACTGTATGGGGGAAATATGCATCTGTGAACGGCTCCATAAGACCGCCTTTACATGGGAATACAGTCTCCCGGAGACTGGCATCTCGAATACAGGTGTAACATTGCGTCTTATCGGCGACTAAATTTAGGTCTCTCACTGCGAAATAATAGTTTAGAATGAAATTTGCGAAGTCTATTTGACATAAATTCTGACGACAGGCTGTATCTCGCATACAGTATCCCCGTGTAACAGCGGCCTATGGGTTCCCGTACACGAGTTGCCTTTGGAGTCGGACCGACCACACAATTGTCGTCGCTTTTTGGAGACCTGAAGTCCCCATATAAACTGTATCATACGTACACGGACGTTCACGGTAATCGAAACGATCATCTGCAGTCATTTCTTAGTCGATCTCCACCGAGTAATCGTCTCGTCCACTGCTGTATATTAACCGCAAGTCTCAACTGGGTCGAGACGAGCCGTAATTTATTTCTACCACTACGATCGCAGCGAAAGGCTGTAGAAATCCATAATGTTGAAGCTGACGACTACAATCTCACCACGAAATATAGGAAAACAAGTATAAATTGTGCACAACTCTTGTGCAGATAAAGCGGTTTTTTTTAACCGAAATAGCTTTTGTTTTGACATTACCAATGGATATATTTCTTGCAGACGTCTCAATCGCCCTTTGTGTGCACCCTCTTCCGACAATCCGTTAATGAGGTATAAGGGAATATACCCGATCACGATAAGAGCCCCCCCCCCCTCCTCCCCGTACTTTGATAAGAGGACAGAAAGAAGGGTTTTCGCTGAGACCTTTAATTAGAATACAATGAGAGATAACATTAATTTTTATCTCCCCCCCCCTCCGACCGCGTCGTTTACTGATCTCGAAAAAGAGTCGCGCGGGAAACTTATAGTGTGTACAAACCAATTTATTGCGATGAGACCTTTCATTAGAATACCATGAAGGGTAGAACATCCCCCCCCCCCCCATTTCCTAAAGTTTAACTTGGCACCACTAAAGGCATGCGTATGCAAGAACTGAGACCAATTGGTTGTCGTATGTAAAAGTTATGCACGATTTACTTTCAAAAACAGCATCTCAGAAAATAATTCGTGGGGGGGGGGCTCCTTTTAGACAGCGAAGTTTGATGGCCGTCTGGTACACCTTCAAGGTATACTCGGAAATTTGAGGCGAGAGGGAAACTTCAACTTAAACGGTAAGTAGTCTCTTCTGGAACTTATCAAGTGTGCCACATCTAAAATGAGTTGCAGTCGAGTCACATTTGGAATTTGTGTTTACATGGGAAATCGTACTTCCAAAGACGACTCGACCCCCACTCATTTTCGATGGCCCGTTAGTTTTTTAAATAACCATTCGCTTTTCGGTGACGGGTAACTTCGGGAGAAATTGGAAAGCCCCCTTCGCATCGACCTAAATTTGAGACGCTTCACTCTAAATTCGCTCCCGTTCTGGAGGACAACGAGAAGGCTCAAATGACGTATGGAGAATATCTTGACCGAGTTTTCTTTAAATGTTTGTAAACCCGCCAACATGGAAAGGGACTAGAAAACAAATAATTGTTAATCTAAAACGACCTAAAGTATTGTGGGAGGGATAGGAAACTCTAGAAACTCTATGCCATTCTTCACATTAAGCACGGTTTGCTAAAGTAAAAATGGGCCTGAGCTAGAATTTAATTTGATTTTAGTAGCAGAAACCGTTTGCTCCGATGTAAACCTGAAATCGAATTGTCATGGGGTTGGGCGGTTTTTTGGAATTGGGTTATGCAAAATATACAGAATAGTGTCATATAGGGCAGTATCGTCAAACATTTTTAGGCGAAGGGTTTGCGAATACGGCCCTGTTCAGTTAAATGCGTACGAAAATTTGCGGTGCCAGGGAGTCGCGACTAAAGACGAAATTAACTAAAATTACGTGACAATCCTGCTGGGCCAGATCCATTAGTTATCAGGGTGTTGAGTTTTTGCTGATTTTAGGGGAAATAAGGCAATTTTGGGTTTCTGGAGGTTTGATTGGCTGTCAGAAATGAATTCTACTGCTGGAGTAGGTTAGAAGGTTTCAAAAGTTTGCGATTTTTTAAAATATTTTTTTAAGAGCTATTATCAACGTTTTCATTTGGTGTATAACTTATTTTCTCGAAAAACAACCTTTCAGAATTGGTACCGCAAGAAGTACCCGCCGCGCCTTAAGTCATATGGCCTGAGGAGGCAGACGATCGATTTTAGCATACTCTGATAGGGCAAAATGGAACTCCATCGGTTAAAATTTTGATCATTCTCGTTCAGTGGATTTCGTGCTAGCTCCCCTACTATTACTGTTACTTAAGTAGGTATCAATATAGGGTATTAGATGCTGGATGGAAATCTTTGTGACGTTGTTATATGCAATAGCAGCTCCAACAAATCGAAAGCAAAAGGATCACAGATTCAGTTTTTTGCTATTCCAAAAGGTAATTCCTGTATTACAAAAAGAATGGGTTATAAAATGCAATGGAAAGGGGAACCTAAACCCCGCATTCAATAGAATGTGCAGTCTGCATTCCCGGCCGAAGACTATGCTGATGAAATGTAAGCTGTTTTGAATAAAGTGCGTTTAATATTTCGTTAGCATGTTTCTTTCTATGCAATTCACGTACCATTTCGATTCATTTTGCGTTTTTTGAATTTGCTCTGTTGTAATTAATTTTTATGATGTGGACAAAATGGGATTCTGGGTGACGTCATTCGCCTATTTTAATACTGAACGTTTATTGGCTGAAAGTTACGAGGCAACCTACTTTCTCTATTAACCATGTTTGCATGCAATGTAATTTCCCTATGTTCGATTTAAAAAAAAACCATCAATCTATTGAGTAGTTCAAATGAGTAGTAGATACAATTGACAGCTGTCACATTTTTAAAAATACCGCCGTCAAATTTAATTACGAAATCGGGTAGGTTATTGCTTAGAATGTCAAGGAGGACATTTCGAACATTTATTGTAATTGTTTTCGTTATTTATTTTCTTATTTTCTTCATTTATGTATTGAATAGATCAAATTAGTAGAATACCAGGTGCACATGACCTACAAATAATTGCAGGTTGGTTCACAATGAGTTGTGGTGTCAGCGCGTGCCCTGTGAGGTCAAGTTATCGTAAGTTTAAGAAAAATTTATCCTAAAGTTGCTGTGGCCTCACATGACTTCTTTAAAAAAACCTTACCGAGTGCTCTTCATCATAATCATAAAGACTATAGACTTGCTGTTCATAGTCACACAAGGTGCGCGATTTGGGAATGTGAACCGCGCACATCTCATAGATTGATGTGTTTTTTTTAATCGAACATAGGGAAATTACATTGCATGCAAACTCCTATGTTCGCATTAAAAAAAAACTCACTGTATATACGTTTGTGTATATCCAGTATATCTGTAGTAGGTAATAAGGACGAGAATGTTTGAATGTGATATTTTTCACTAACTTTTGTAACTGGAAAAATTTGACAACCCATGAAGGTATACTACAGTAGTCACTTAAATTATTAAGAAGTGTCCAGTTAATTCTCCAACTACTGTCTAAAGATACGTCTAAACGATCGATTTAAGAAGTTCGTATTCCCACTCAATGCGTTTTTCGCGTTCTAATTATTACTAAGTTCAAATTTAACATAAGAACATTTGAAAGTAATTTCTTACATTTATCATTTATTAATTGAAATTAATTGAACGAGACTTCGAAATTATGCGTCCAACAGACGCCAATTATTCGTTTGTCCAAATATGCGAGGAGCTAACCTAAATTATTTTAAATTTAGCTTCTTTTGTAATTCACGTTACATTTTAATTTTATAACTTCATGAATATAAATTGAAGTGTTTCAAGGAGATTTGTGCTAGTTTAGGGTGGATGCAAAAAGCTTACTGCGGCTGTCGTAAAACCAAGAGCCTTAAAGTTTGGTATTGTAAGAAGCAGACCATTTTACTGCAGTTTTCAGTGGGGCCATTGAACCTCAAACTTTGATTCTGTAAACCGCAACCCCGAATGCGTTTCCGTGACTAATCGGTCTTGAGTACTGCCACATCTTCGTTCGCTCATAGTAGACCGAAAATAAAGGGGTCAGTGAGTATAATCTCAGCTCTGATTTCACACTTACGGAGAAAGATAAAAAGTCAATGAAATCTAGCACAAAAAATGGAACGTGGTGAAGTCGTTGCGGACGGTTCGGTACCCACCTAAATAAGTGTCATAATACTCGGAAGCGGAACCATTGAAACAAACAAAGTGAATGTTTGGAACAAGAAACTTAACCCGGTTTTAGGCACCCCAGGTGTATTACTATCACGATAATGATATTTGGTGTGTAACTTGCATTCCCCGAATCACGATTTTGGATCATATCTTTGAGCATGCCATTTGGATTTTGGAAAATGTTATTTTTATATTTATCCATGTTTATTAAATACATCTACTCGGCTATTAGGACCAAAAAAATTGAAATTAGATAAGCATCGGTATTTCGTGAATGAGTGTGGGTTTTGTCATTGCTTTTTCTTAATACTCGTTAATAATAAAAGAACTTAAGTTAATTACTGCCATTCGATAAGGAATTGTACGAGTATATGACAGATACAGTATTTAGTAATAATTGCTGATCATTTCGTGAAATAACCATCTGAAAGCCTTAAATAAACACGAAGGTGCGGCTTTTATTTGTAAAGGTGTGGCTGGTACTGCGAGCTTTAATGTTCATCGATTAAATTTTAGAACAAATTCAAACTAATACACACTTACACGTATCGCAATTAAAAATTCGTCCATATTAATTCCTCCGCTTCTGTCGGCATCAAATTTATCGAACAAGGCTTTCGCTTCGTCGTCCGTAACCTCCATTCCAGAATCTCTGAGACCCTTGATAAACTCCTCCAAATTTAATTGTTTATTACCATCGTCGTCCATTCGTCGAAACATTCTTCCCAATCCCAAAATGCCGGTCGCTCCTCTCGATAGACAGATCAGCCTGAGACGTTCGACCGGATCGGCCGATGCTCCCAGAGCTCTCAGTTTTCGCATACTTTTTGAGGCCATATCGGACTCATTGCGAGACATCGAGCTTTGCGGACGGAACATGTTCCTGAAAAAATTGCCAAATGTTACACGTATATCTACACTCTTAGACCGCACGTACACCTTTTTAAAATAACCGCAATGAACTGATATAAATACTACGAAGGGTGGTGAATCTCCAGGGGGAATAACGCACGCACCTCACCGGTACCTATTATAATACTAATAGATATTTAAGTAAGCACTAAATGCTGAACTATACTTGAGATTAAGTTCTTACTAAAGTGTGCTCTTCCGGTTACTAAAGTGATTTGTGTATTTGTGATTAAAAACCGTGTACCTATTATAGACCGGATATAAAGAATTCTATTGAATTTATTGATGGAAGTTATTAGTTACCCTGACAATCCGGAACAATATCAACATGTTACGCGATATGAATATATACCCACCTAACAAGACGCCACCTTAGGTTCGGGTCTGTTGACTCAAGTGCCATTAAGCCAGTAATGAACATGAAACTTCACCATTTGTAACAATTTTGCTAAAAAGAGCAACGAATTTCAAAGTGCGGCTGTCGGTAATTTGAGGGTTTTAAATAAGTAATGTTCCACGGTCTAAGGGGTGATACCCTCTGGAGACCCAATTACCCTTTAGAGTATTCGTCCGTTGCCATTTAGGCCGGGTCGTTCCACGACCCCTAAAAGTTATTTAGAATAACTTTAGACAAAGTTTAGCGAGGTGCGTGTCGTGCCTATTGCTAATGAAAATTGTTTCAGATAAAAATCGCTTGATGACTTTTACTTTATAACCGCACCTATTCTAATATGAACACAGTAAAAATGAAACGCGTGTCATTTTTTACTATACAGGGTGGATCATTACTGCCTGGATGGAAGATTGTGGGTTTATTACCGCACATATTTAAAATTCATTGTCCCGACATATTCACAACCCTAAAAATATTTTCAACGAAATTGCAATTTTTATACAGGGCGATTTATATTACAGTTGCATTTTTTTAAAAAGGATCAAACGGTTACGGAAAATTTCATCAAAAGGGTTTATATGTGCCATCAACAGAGCCGTGGGGGTGACTTATCCGATATGCTATTCCATACACACATTACACATGTTTATAGTTTATGGATCAATTAAAAAATCGCTATTATTAATTAAAAACCTGTGTTTTCTACTAAAATTACTTTTAGCATGCATTTTGGTACAACCGCGTTATATTATATAACTACACAAAACTCTTCAGTATTGAAACTATTGTTTTTTCATACTTTTTTCGTACTACTTATTAGTCAATGTTGTGTATCTGTGTATCTATTTTTTTTATATCGGTTTACTAAATCAGAAACCTTCGCGGTCATACGTCCAACTATTCCCCAAAGTATATGAACGGTGTAGAAAGACGTAAATAACATGCAGACAGAGAAGCATTTTTTTAAACATTATCCCTCGTTCCTATAAATGGAGTTGAGTGATATCAAAGATTAAGAAAATCGGATCTCAAAGCCTTCCCCATAAATTTATTGTTGTAGTATTAAAACACGACTATAGTTTCGGCGATAATCGCCATCATCAGGTGAACTATAAATTAATTAAACTTACAAAATTGATCGTAATCGAGAGGGGTGTTGGTGGGGTCAAAACATTGAATGCAAGTATCTAGACAGTGGGGTGCCCGAAAAGAGTACTTATAAAAGGAGAATGGAGAGTAGATACATGATGTATCGTCGGTGAAATCAAAACTTAAAGCGCGAATATTTAGAGAGCTACGTAAGTGTCAGAAAAGTCAAAACTTCAAATGCAAATATCTCAAAATCTGTAGATTAAGTAAAAAAAATAAATGCCAGAGAGTGATGTAGATATCCAGATATATCTAAATGGAACCAAAATGACATAACAGGTGGTTTCAGGTTTTATAGATTTTTTGTTAAATTTACGGTATAAAAACTGTCGTGACAAAGAATGAGGGACGGTCTTTCGGCGATACCTCCGTATGTATAAAACAAGTTAAAAAGTCATTATGCAAACATAAATGACGAGAGCGTATTTTCACATTTTGAAAACGTCGTTAATGTTACTTATATTCGTAGTGTTTACATATAAAGTTTCATTTAAATATCTCCATAAATAAAAAAGTTAGCATTGCACATTCAAATTTAATTCAAATTTTTGACACTGCGCATGCGTAAAACCAAAAAATATGGATATGCACGGGATCCTTGGACCAAGCCCTTTCAAATGAGTCCTATCTCGCCAAAATCGGTTCAGTGGTGTAGAAGGAGTACGTGTGACGGACGGACGAACGGACGGATGGACGGACAGACGGACAAATAATACAAAATTATATCTCGAGGATCGTTAATAAACGACAAAAGTAAAATTATAGTGTATGAAAAAATTGATTTTTTACAATAGGTAACTTTTTATCGGGTTAGTGTGCTCTCTTTTAAATAAATTGGTACCACGAAAGCGTCAAGGTTCAAGGTGCAAAACCTTTTATTGTGCTCTATTTGGAGTGGCTAATTACGTTAAAAACAAGTTGATCAATTAAAACTGTGCACCTCTATTATGTATACGGGGGGTTAGATCTACAAACAGCAGTCGGTAAAAAGGTTAAAGACAATTAGTTCGTGCCTTTGTTGGCTGTCAAAACCCTAAGCAATAAGGGTAATACCGTGCTTTTTATAAAACCCTAAATTACAGGGGTAATTTCGGCTATTTGATTACATGCTGTGGAACACATTTAATTTTGTATTGCTCACGGCTAGCCCTGTAATAAAAATTCAGACACTCCTTACCATGCTTTGGCCATTTATCTCCTCTTTAACTCTAAAAATCAAAACCTATTGCTCTAGTTTTATTGAACTCGAATTTTTGCATGTAAAATGGTTTATTGAATACTTATATTTAAAAAAAGAATGTAAATCCAATTTCATTTCTCCTTACATCTTAGCTACACAAACATTTCAATTTATTCAAAGGGGTGGTATCACGGAAATTAAATGCAAATTCCCAACTACTTTCCAGAAATAATCAAACTCGCTTTGTCTCGATTCGCAATAAATGCAATTCGTGCAATATATTTTTATAGGTCGGTTTCTTTAGGAATATTACGATTAATAAATAAATGTATAAATTCCCAAAAAAAATCGATCAATACTTTATACAAATAAAAAATGTTAATTGGTGAGACTGAATTTTTCTTCAGGTTACAATTAATACTATCCTCACTTGGAGAAGGGAGCTTCGACTGAAAACAGATCACTTTGTGTAACCAGCTGAACTTTTGGCAACCCCTTTTGGAAACTGTATTGAATATTAATTTTGTTCATTTTATTAATTGATTGGGATTTGCTGTGAGTAAATGCACAAGTTATGCGATGATGCGGAATAGTTTATTCGCGTAATTCTGTCAACACGAAAATTTGTAAAAATTTCTTCAATGATCCACTCGCGTCAATTTCATACACAAAATGCAACAGAGGCTCTAAAACAGTAACATAAATTTGTCCAGGCATTCCTTTACAACACTCGGGATTATACACTGTATTTTTCGCTATTACTCGTATTTGTTTCGTTAATGCATTTGTGACGGCACGGATTATATTTATTGGGTTTTCATTTATTTTAGAAGAGATTAATGTAATTATGTAGAGATAAGATGGCTTTTTGTAAAAAATTGCACGTTTTCATTGAAATGTGATGGTTTAGATAAGATAATTCCGAGAAAAATGGGTGTACCTACTTGAGAAAAACCAAGCGTGCTGTCCTAAGCTGATGATTGGTTGATCGAGTTTCGTTAATTGGCTAACAATTCTGGATGCAATGTAAGGAGGGAAGTCCGTTTAAATACTGGTGTACTCGTTTAGAAGGAGTTTTTTTGCCAGTTTCGAGACCGGGTTGCGGTTCGCTATATCGGTGGTGTATTTTTGCATACAGCCACATATATCAAAATCAACGATTAGACAACCTGTTTGGGAATGACATTAAGAAGCCAAAAGTGTTTGCCAAAAGTGCGTTTCCTTTCGCAAGTTTCTCAGTTTTCTTTGGGTGCCTAGATTTTATTGGTATATTTCGCTCGAAAAATTGTAAGTAAGATTAAGACTTTTTGATGTTTGTTTAATTTGTAATCGATCGCATATGCGTTGTTTGTTTATTCGGGCGCTGTGGTCCAAGTTTGCTAATTATGATTTCATGTTTAATGATTTATTTGTGATGGGAGAATAAATTTTGTTATTGTAATATCATGCAAGTCGTGTGTTTATTCGATCGTTTTAACGACGAAGAGAGATGCCTCATGTTCAATTACGTTTAATTTTATTTATGGCGCCTAAAGTTTCAGGTAAAATTTGCTACCTAAATGACATTTTTGGAGTTTAATGAGTTGACCTTGACCATTGATTGCTTTGAATCAAGAATTTCAAGTTGAATTATTTTGTTGACATTTCATTAAGGAGCTAGATATGTTTAAGAAGTGTTTTTGGCCTGAAATTCAAGGGTCGCAGGATTCAGCAATATAATTACATAACAAGAACCACGACCACCCCCAATTTAACTAAGATAGGAATATTAATCATAAACAAAAAGGAGGAGAAGTAAATTTGTAACATTCTGTTACGCGTGTAGCGCGCGTGGCGCTAATTCAAAAAAAGAAAAGAAATTAAGTTCAAGTGGCCAAAAAAATTAAATTCGAAACCGAAAATCTTATCGCAATGTAGAGATAGAGAAAATTCGGTTAGGCCGAGAAGCATATTTTTCGTTAAAGACCGTCAAAGCGGTTAACGATTTTTGAAGCGCGAAGGGACTTGGGTGAAAATTCGTACCTGGAATTTTCACGTTGAAGCGCCGGGTGATTTCCTTTCGAGAAAATAATTACGCGTAACTTGTAACGTTATGACGTTAATCGTAAGATGTCGTTTGGGTTTAAAATTATACCTATACTTGAAATTTAGTTTTGCTATCGACAATTCGAAAACGCATATTCGTCTTCGTACGCTTGGTGCGGATAAAGATTTGCAATTTATTTAATTGCGCTTAAGAAAATTTTATTCAAATCGAATTGTATTGAAAATTCCTATTGAGGATAATTTTTTTTAAAAAAAGGTCATAGAACCGTAAGTTTTTCAATTTTTTTATTTCAAATGTGTAATATTTCACAACATTTTAGTTTTTTTCGTACCGGATTTGGGCCCCTGAAACAGAAAAAGGGATAATTAGTTTCTGGAAAAAAAGAACCAGCTTCCGTATTTCAAAAATTCAAAAGTAGTTTGCATCAAATAGAAAAAACAACTTACCAGCTTCAGCAACTTTCTTCAGGAGTATTCGTCGATAGCAAAATCATTATCTATCTGTCAAAATTTAATTGAATGTACAGACGACAGCAAGAAAAAGAAAGCAAACACAAGGTCAGCTACAATTTCACCATTCATTCATCATTTATTTCATTAAAAATCTTCCATACCTACATATTGTTCATATTGATACATAATTTAGTTGAGAAGTACCTACCTGTTTTTTTGTCAATACTCAAAATCAAATGTAAAATACTTATAATTATTTCAACGACGGCATTCATATTTTGTTCCGGTAGCGCTATCCCTTCTTTATTTAATTTTTTATTCGCCGTTTAATTTTTTAATTGTTGTGTTCCTTTCATTAAGAAAAAAAAACCTAATTTGTAAAGGGTACTTGATACTTTGTTTGTATTAAATATAAAAAAATTTCATTTTGTTTTTATTGATCGCTATTGGCGTGATAAACTGCGCTAATTCGAAATGTATTATAAGTAAAACAAAGTTCTGGACGTTTTAATGTAAAAGAAAAGTGGCGAAGGAAGAACAAGAAATTATTTGGAAATTACGGATAGCGGAAATTTTAAATCGCGCGAATATAAACTCTGTGAACCTGAACATAGGAAAGTGGATTGAAAATAAAACGCATAACGTAAGCCCAGCGCCATCTTTAACTGCATGTGCCTAGATAACGTTTCTTTAATGGCATTTTTCGTTTCCCGATGAATTGCGTAATTTGGTGCAATCGCTTGAAAGTTAAAGAAAAGAATTAACTGCATCTATTTACGAAGGTTGGGATTGTTGTTGTTTTATTGCCTTTTGTAGATATGCGAGTATCTCACACAAAATGATGTCAAAATAAAATTCAAGATGGCAGTAAATATCTTTTACAATATAATTATAACTCTGCGTTAAAACCTCGGTTAAAACATCTAACGAAGTTTTATGAGATAAGTGGGTATTGACTACTTTCGCCCGGCCGTAACTGGAACGAATTTTTTTCATCAATTTAATACTTATAACTTTTTATCGACCTTAGTTGATCATAGGTTCAGCATTAAATAAAGGATATTCAACACTTTTCAAATATTTAAATGTCAATATTTTACCAATTAATAAAAAAGTATGCGCATCAGTATTGAATTTTTAGATGCTTAAACGTGTCTTTCATTCTTTATTTAACGTGATCAACTAAAGAATATGAATATTAAATCGATTTAAAAATAGTTCAGCCTACTTGATTAAAATGCACAATAATTAATGTTACTAACATTCTTTATTCAACCATAGAATATCTTTGCGATGAAAAATGAGTTGCTATCGAGTGACCTTTGCAATTTTTGTTTACATACGAAATTTAACTTCCAAAGGCGACTTGCAGTAGGTAACTCATTTTTGATCGTCCGTTATCGTTGAAAAGAGTAAAAAACCTACATTAATTTTCTATACAGCATCCATCAGTAAAAAAGTTGGTACCTATTCATATACATATCAGCAACCTACATCATATTTATCATTTTAACGTCACTTTTATGATTACCGAGATAATCGGCGCTTTTCAGATTTTTTTTAAATAACTTTTAATCGGTTTAAATTTTCTAAACGGAATTTCAGTCAGGACACGAAACTGTATGGCACGCCATTTTACTATTTAATGACAGAATATAAATTGGTTACAATTTAAAAAAAAACAGAAGAAAAATTAATTAGATTTATGTCATGACATAATAAGAATTACCAGAATTATTATTATGTCTAGGCATAATTTTAATTACGCATTTATTATTATGTCACGACATAATAAGAAATACGCCAATTGAATTTATGCATTGATTCTTATAATACGGAAATTATTATTATGTACATAATTTTAATTCCTGAATTATTATTATGTACATACCTAATTTTAATTCCGGAATTATTATTATGTACCTACATAATTTTAATTCAGAAAGCAGTCGTGCTACGCTTGACAACATTGCAAATCGTCGAAACGGTAACTGAGACACGGCCTCCAGCTGTTGTTATTTGTATAATTGCCGTAATTGCCGCCACTTTACACCTTTCATTTTTACGAAGCCTGAACATCTCTTATCACACAGGGTTTCTAAAGACTTAAAATGTGATATTTGTGATTATGCAACAAATATCAAAAGGAATCTTAAAATACATCTTTTAACACATAAGGTTTCTAAATATTTTAAATGTGGCATTTATGGTTATGTATGAGGTATCAAAAGGGAATCTTCTGACCGTGTCTCAGTTACCGGTTCGGCAATTTACAATGTTGCCAAGCTCAGCATTACTGAGTCCCGAATTAAAATTATGTACATAATAATAATTCGAATAGACATAAAAGGAATTGTATCGAATGTAAAAAAGGAGAACAAAAATGTATTATTATTATGTCATGACATAATAACAATTGGCAGAAATATTATTATGTCTATACATAATTTTAAATACGCATTTATTATTATGTCATGACATAATAATAAATACGGAAAGTAAATTAAAATTATGTAGCGACATAATAATAATACAGCAAATTATACTAATTCCAAAATATTAAAGATATAATTCTTTCTACCTTAAAATATAATACAACGCATGACACTCATTTAATTATCCAACTAATCGTTTTAAGTTATAATTATGTCACGACATAATAAAAATCTATTATTATTATGTCACATGATAATAAAATACAATTGTTTTTATGTATAGACATAATTATAATTCGGGACTTTCCCTATTCTGAGCCGTATATTTTAAATTTAGTTTATGTCTAGACATAAATTTAATACATTCATTTTATGTATAGACATAATAATAATTGTTTTCATACATTTGATTTTTTTAAATAATATAACAAATGTATTATATTTTGTTTGTCATTAAATAGTAAAATGGCGTGCCATAAAACTGTGAATCTACTTATTTAACCTATAATCTCATCTTCAATAATATAGTCTTTGATAATAGCATAGACCAAGTCTATGATAATAGCAAAGTTGCTCATGCAATTTCATTGAATCTTGCGGATCTGGCTACTTACCTGATGTATTTAGTTAATAAAATGGGCTTTAGTTTTCAATTGAGATAGTGTATTGGATTTAATATTAAGTAGGTAGGTAAGTACGGTATTACGGATCCTTTCACTGAACCGTCCTCAATGACCTTTGCGTTTGTCATCGATTCCTACAGAACGTTTGAATTCGTAAAAAAATTCCCTTAAATCGAGGTAGGTAATATTTCTTCAGTACAATCGTAGAACTTGGCGCACAAATTAATTAATTTTGCAAAAGAGACATGTACTTTCACACGAAAAATCGCCAAAAATTGATTTGCTCCCTTCGAGCCCACGTTCTACGCCTTAATTAGTTATACCGGATGACTTATCTTCCTTATCGTCCAGGAGGAAGTATAATTTTTGCGATATGGGGTGTTGGTTAATTACAGTTAATACGATTTTAGAAATAATGCTTTTTACTCATGTTGAAAGCTACTTAACAGGGGCTTATTACCATTATTCTGAAAATCGCTAATGCAAGCCATTTTAAGACCACTAAATAGGTTTCCCTCTTTAATTAAAAGTAAGTATATCCTACTTATTATCACCCACCGAAATCGAACATTTTTACGGGTTACAAAGTTACAGGTATAAAAATCACCTGTTTGCTTGCAATGTTAACATATTACCAAGCGCTTAATTTATGTATTCAGTAATTGAATGGTAAAGATAGGTAAGTCAATATTTCATTTCAATAAAAGCATTCTCCAATTGGTCCTAATTTTCAATTAAACCTCTACCACTACACCAAATAGGTACACATTTTAGTAATAAAAAATTTACCGTACAGGAAAAAAAGGTTTTTTTAAAAAAAAAGCGAGTAGCAAATGCCCACGTAATCAATTCTAACTTTGCCTACAGTATAGGTAGGTATACTTACGTTTAATTCTAAACACGCACCAATCAAATTTCACACAAAAGCCTAACCTGACTTAATTCGAGCCAAGTATTCAAATTTGTTGCCTATCTAATACGAAATCTAACTGCAAAGGGCTACTGGCACGTTTTGGCCTCTGCGGCCAACTTTCGACGCCGCTTTCATTGATTTATTCAGTGGCGTTGCTATCATTGCTCTGAAGCTCTTATATTATCACCTCTGTACCTACACTAATTAAGTAATCCACGGCAGTATATTTACTAGTTTTCATTGTATTGCTTTCTAGCGTATATTATAGTGCCTAATAAGACTAAATATCGTGGTACTTCCAGTAGAAGTTTGATTGAGATTTGTAATTAATTGCAATAATTTGAATAAGTAGATAGAATACCCATTTTACTCATCTTGAGATTTATGGGAGTTTGATTTATTACCCCTCTGTCAGATAGGTACGTTGTTAGTTTGCCGACATAGACAAAATAAATCAATAGAGGGTAACGTACAAATGATAATGAATAAGTAAACACACTTAATGATCCTACGCGGATTAGATCTCTTCCACTGAATGGGCGTGCGCTAATAGACACTTTTACGTATACCTACTCCAATTAAGGAAATTTGTAAATTTTTCTTACAAACCAAACATTCCATTGGATGCTGTGTTTTGAATATTAGGACTCGGAATCTACGGAAATTTTCAACTTTACGCCTATTTTGTCCCATCATTATATTAATATACCAACTTATATTCAAAGGCTATTAGCATAGGGACCATACAGGATGACATTCAACAAATTAGAGACAACCTGAAATGTAGCAAGGCCCTGTGTTTTAACTAAGGTATTAAATATCCTCTGAAACCCCAGTGGTGAGGCGTTGAGCCAATCACCCCAAAACCACCCACAAAGTGGTGTAAAATCTACCTTTCTTGAAATGTTTCTTAATAACTGTAAAACTGAGCATTTTACGAAAAAATTTCAAGAAAATTGTAGATAAGAAAATTTCCTACCACATAGGTATACATCAAATTTTTTAGATGTTCAGTGGCGCATATTAGGATTTTCTAATATGTATTGCTATAAAAACGCCGGAAACTGTTCACTTTGGTTGATGATGATGAATCCTGTGATGAATTCAATACTGCCTAATTATTTGTTTGTTATTTGCGACATTTTCAATTGACGACATGCGAAATAAGAACACTCATTAGTAGGCGGGGGACACTTTGTAACTCGAAGGTCCAATTTTCAAATGAGTATTACTTTTGTTTCAAAACTATTGTACAATTTTGTTCCTTAATTCATCAAGTACGTACACAACAAATTTCGCGGAATTCTCTCCATTTTAGTTGTCCGGCCAAGCATTGCAGTGGAACTTTTCTTTCGAATTTTCACAAACTAATTCCAGATTCGTCATTTTCATGTTCAAAAACCTCCAGATACCAAATTTCGTCGAAATTTTTTTCGCACCCACAAGGTAGGGGTGCGTCCTTTCGTGGTAGGAATTTTTAAATTTTTTTTTCAAATTCAGAAAGGGCATACCCCAAAACCTATTCAAAAACGTGCCATCCACCTTTATAGCTCTTATGATTGCTGAGCAACACATTAAAGAAGAAATCCAAATTTCACCACTTCTTTGGGGGTGGCTCCCAAACGAAACACGTTGGACCCTCGGTTTATTTGGAAAAAGTGCTAGTCCTGATCCCCTCTATCACATGCTGTAACACCCTGTATAGTATTTGAAACATCGGGTGACAAACTTCTCAGGGGAAGGCAACTTTTGGGTCGCCGAAGTCGACTATCTCTCAAAAACGCGCGCCTTGGGTGGTTTATTTCACCTCTACGAAAAAAAACAAAATCGTCACGCAGGAGTTAGGCGCGTTTACAAGATCTTTCCGACGACACCAATTTGAAAACAATCGCACCTAAACTATAGATAGATCGATAGATAGGGCAAAAACTGAAAACTCACCACGTTAGTATAACACACACGAGGATGGTGCCCAGATGTCGCCAAGGACGGTACTTCCTCGGAAGCAAAACCGACATTCTGGGAAATGATGGCCTTTTTGATCTGCTCCGGAGAGAGATCAGACAAGATGGAAAGTCTAAAAGAGACTTGTAGGTGAGGCTTGGCTTGGTAAAATGTGCACGTTTGCGTTTGGATTCGACAACCATCTCTCCTTCTGCAGAGGCACCTCTAAATAGCATTATGCGGGTCACTCTGTAATTGGGCGCAAGCCTGTTGAGAGCCCAAAACAAGAGAGGGATAATAAATAAATAAAGATGTTTCGATACGTGATAAGGATTGTAGCATTTCGGATCTTTTAGAAATTATCTCTTTGAAGGATTTTTTTATTTATTTATTTAATTATTTATTTATTTATTTATTTATTGTCATGTCATGTTTTTTTCTATTGAGCTAATTGGTTTAAGCGAATTGGTAGGTTTTGCTATGGTTACAATAACATTATGTCCCTCTCTTGTTCTGGGCCCTCAACAGGGATACGAAATACGAATCTGTCTTATTTGATTGTAACTTATTAATTTCTACGGTACAGGGATAAATACCGAAACTATTAATCTCCGTAGCGGCATGCATCTGGAAATACATCTTAGTTTTAGCACAGATATACGTAGGTAGATCTGTGGTTTTAGCTACATTCTGGCTGGATTCTGGAGCTCATACTAATTAATTAACAATTACCAATTAACCGGCTTTGTAGCTCAGTGGTAGAGCGTTGTGCTACAAAACCGGAGGTCGGGTGTTCGATTCTGGGCTGAGCTAGGAATTTTTCATCTGTGGTAAAGATGGGAATTTCCTTAGATCAGTTTCGAGCATTCTGCCGGCTATTCCGAATTAGGTTTTCCTGCAGCTTTCCTAATTCGTAAGGTAAATACCGGAGTATCATAGAACAACTTAACACCTCTTCTGCAGGGGCACCTCTCATTATGTGGGTCACTATGTAATTGGGCGTAAGCCTGTTAAGGGCCAGAACAAGAGGGAAATAAATAAATAAATAAATAAATAAATAAATAAAAAAATAAATAAATAAATAAATAAATAAATAAATAAATAAATAAATAAATAAATAAATAAATAAATAAATAAATAAATAAATGGTGCACTTGATGCAAGAGATGCTCGAATGTTTCACAATTTACAAGTGAGAAAGGATCTGGTTTTACTTTTAAATCTATAATAATTAATCTATATTTCGCATTAGAATACCGTCAGGTTCAAAAATTATTCAATTTCAAGGGATACTCCCTCAGATTGTTAAGTTTTGCAGATTGTAGAAGTGAAGTGAATGTGTACTTAACCACTTAACGTGGTCCCACAGTTACCTCTATGTCTTCGGTTATTGTGCGATATGAGTCGCGATACACTAATTTCCACATATTTCGTTGTTAACGTTGAATTTAGCCTCGAAGGCCATGCAGTTTTTAACTACAGATTTTATTGCTCCAAAGATGGGTCACATCCTGTGCACTTCACCCTTCTTCAAAATGTTTATTACCTGCTACCTGGCCCATTGTTCCCTAAACTTGTTTTTAACATTGATTGGAAACAACTCATATGCTTATACTGATTCTTTTCGGCCTGCTTTAGGTGTTCGATCACGTGCCACTTTTTAGATTTTAAATTTAAGCGAGACCAGATTAGTTTTTGGAGGAAATGGCTTTTCCGGTGGTCATTTTTAAACGTTACCTATTCTGTGTTGATCTTATTTCCGTGTTACTGTAGTGTGAAGATAAGGTACAGCGCACGTGGTGGTTAATTTTTCAGAATTTACCATGTCAAAAAACCACCAAATATCAAATCAAAACTTGAAAAGGCATGTTCAATATCTTATCCATAGAGTTCCATTCCATTCTTAATTACGCATTTTAGGTATGTTGTTTAAGGGTAGCAACTAAAAGAAATACATGCGACCGTCGGTTTATTTGAGAAGAGAAAAGAACATACAATATTTTTTCTGCCACAACTCTAACGTAACACTCTGTACGACGAAAAGTTTGCGTTCATCAATGTGGCTCCCATAACAGCTGGTTTGTACACTTTATACACAATGACGGTATTGTATACACCTTGGCATTACACATAACCTTAAATTTTAACTATATGAATTTTCCAAAAGTATTATGTTAATTTGAAGGCAAGCATGTTTTGGTTTATAACTATAGTCACTTTCTTGAGATGTTATTTGGAAAACATTACAAAACCAGTAAGTAATCGCATTCAAACCTTTGAAATTCCATATATCTCATATATTACACAGCTATTCCGATGGATACTGAAAGCCTCAAATTATGAAAGAAATCTTTACAATACGAGAGAAGAGTACAAATCGCTACAGTGTAAATTAAATTTAGTCGATAACTTTGCGAAGTATTCCAAAATTCAAAGAAAAATTAACGCACTTGATGAAGAATTACAAGTGCTGTATCAGACGAGGCGCAGAAGTGGTTACTTTTACAAAACTATTATTGAATACAGTTTAAAGGCGATATTTGTTGTTACATTAACGTTTTGCTCCATTTGGTATCGTCATACACCTGCTATAATTTTAAATAAGCAATTTGACTTGTTTCCATTCAGCTCCTTAATTTCGTTTCCTATTGATTCAATGAACTGTATTTCGGTACCGTTTTGGATTGTTTGTTGTAGCACAATGGGATCAGTTACAAAGTCGTTTTTATCGAATTTTGTTTGACCAATTCTGACAAGTAGTGTGCATTCGTGTAGGTATTGTAAAATACTATTTGTACAAAATGATATTCGTTATTAAACTTTTTCAAATACACATTAATAACTATAAGTGCATTTTTTTTCAAATCACCTTCAACCAGCCATGTGCTGATAACGCAATCTATGTAGTATTTAGGTTGTACTAAACACTAGACAATACCTACTCATGTTTGAAGTGAGACACTTATTGAAGCTACAAGTTTGGGGAAATATGAAACATTTTTTCTTAGGATTACGGTGATCGATGTAACATTTAGATACATATTCGTTTTATCCCCAACTATTGTTATTATATACTTATGTTACAACATAATAATATTGCCTACTATTCTCTATAGTGAATATTCATTGTTCTAAATTTTTCAAAATTATGAATTCATAATTCTCTATCCGAATTTGTGCAATTTTGTCTTAATTTTCCAAATTGTATGTGTTTTTAAATTTATTTTAAACATTTTTGAAACTATGTCATTGTGTCGATTTTTCTTGAATTTCCCAAATATGTGCTGCTGTTTAAACAATTACACATGTTCTGAGGAGGGCGGGAGGAAGACAAATCGTAGCCTAAAGCTAAACCTAATTGCCGCATCAGATTATGCGCCTTTTTTGATGTGGAACAAAATGTTCTTTTTTCTTGTAAAATTTTTAGTGGCGGTTTTGAATCACACTATTGAGGCCTTAATAGTAATGCAGCTTAGTCACACACCATGGACGTATGAAGTCTATATCTCATATATGATGCTTACCATCATCATTAATTATACAGATGAATGCCATCATTGTAATGTTACCATACTGCAAGTTTAACGGAACACTTATTTACATTTGAAGAACACCCTGTACAAGTGGAGATTGGAATCTCCTTTAGCCGAACCTTTAGGCACTATTTTTTTGTATCTCGTGAATCATAAATGTAGGTTAGGTTCATTCAAATATAAATTTATCAAAATTTAACGTAAGATAACAGCTTCAGTATGATTTCGTAACAAAGAACTAGGTACCTATCATTACAAATAATGAATGAATTGTGCGTAGTGGATTGGTCAATTAGCGATACTCAAAAATGGCTCGAAAAAGAAGGATTAAGTTTGGAGACAAGAACCATTTTGTGTGAAGCAAACAGAATGAGTGGCAAATTCTTTTTAGCTTTAACAGAACAGGACTTTGCAATGGAACCTATCAGTAAGTTGATTTTAAGAGATCGTAAATGCTTGTATATGGCAGTGAAGCTATTGCAACGAGAAAACCAAAACAGTATGATATCGTTGGGTCTCATCGAGCTACCATCGGTCTCATTATATACGCCCAACAATAGTTACTTAAAGCATAATGATTACAGTGATTATTGCGAGTCCGATTTTATTTCAAGGCCCGCATCCGAAGATGGTCGTTCGCAAAAGTTACCACCAGAAATATTCAAATTATTTATCAGCTTCTGCTATTTAATTTTTGTCACGTGGATTACCGCCTTTGTTATGGTCATAGTCCACGATCGTGTACCTGACATGAACAAATATCCTCCTTTACCTGATATATTTTTGGATAACGTCCCTCTCATTCCTTGGGCATTTGACATGTGCGAAATATCTGGTACCATTTTACTTACCATTTGGTTAGTAGTTCTCATTTTTCATAAGCACAGGTAAGCATCGCTGGTAAACAAAGGGGTAAAACCTCAAAATGATGTTTTTAGATTTATTTTAATGCGAAGAGTGTTTGCATTATCCGGTACGGTTTTCTTACTTCGTTGCATTACCATGCTGATCACTTCGTTGAGCGTGCCGGGAACGCATCTTCAGTGTAGGCCAAAGAATATCACATCTGGAGACGTCTTTTTGTTCTCCGATATTGCGGCGAAGATATCTCAAGCTTACGTTATATGGAGTGGTGGCGGTTTAGCGATACAAGGCGTCCGCACATGTGGTGATTATATGTTTAGTGGTCATACAGTCGCGCTAACGATGCTTAATTTTTTTATAACTGAATGTAAGTATTACGAAGACTTCTATAGTTGCCATATTACCCCTTTTGTTAAAAGCTAGGTAGGTACATGAATTTGGAATCTCTTTATTTAAGACATTAGTTCGCAAAGTCAAAAACTGTGTCTCTTCCCTCGTGAATAATGTACAGTATCTGACTCAATAATCAACCTGTTCACTGTCAGTGCAAAAAGTGTGTATAGGCTAAACCAAAGAACCAATGAATACAAACAAAGAACAATGAAGCAGAGACACATCCATGTCCAATAAGTTGCGAAATTGTATGAGTACGTACCACACTTACTATCAGCTCTGAGGAGCACTGTTGAACTGGCCGTCAAGAACCAAGCAAAATTGAATGTGGGCTCTTTCTCTTGCTTGGGTTATAAGTCCGGGCTAGATTAAACGGATTTTTATTATTGAAGTAGTATTGGTTTGACTACTGTAGTGGATGATTTTTGAGTTGTAATGTAAATGCGAGTGTAAATGTTTAAAATTTGGAGTACATCACAGTGAAGGTAGGTGTAAGTGTTTAATAAATTTTATTGCCCAATTGAATATTATAAGATGGACAAGTAACAAAATAAAAAACGCAACCAGCTGTGACATGACCAGAGCTTAGTAAAACCATGTAAAAGTAAACTGTGACGAACTACCTATGACTGCTGAACGAATAATAACCCGACTGCACCTCAATGCAGTTTTTACCCCAAGAGGCGCGTGATTTTTGGTAAGCTGTGTTCATACTGTTATGTAGTTCGTCCACTACATCAAAGATGGCAATATCATCGCGTTGTATTGACAGTGATTTATAGAAGACAGTGGCGACAATAGGAGTCGCCATGTTGCATCGAAAATTCAAATTAGAAATCATCAAATACTAATAGAATCTTAGTGTAGGCATATAATATAACCATATATACATGCAGCAGAAACTATACAACATGGCCGCTGATCTTCAACCAATCGAAAATTAGACACTATTGTGGCTACTGTCTGGATGAAGTCACTGTATATCAAGGTTAATAGAGAAAGTAGGTTGCCTTGTAACTTTCAGCCAATAAACGTTCAGTATTAAATTACGCGAATGACGTCACACGGAATCCCATTTCGTCCACATTATAAAATTTAATTATTAACGCAACAACAACAGAGCAAGTTCAAAAAAGCAAAATGGATCGAAATGGTACTTTACATGGATGTGCTGAAAAGTTCCTGCATTGCATAGAATGAAACATGCTGGCGAAAACGCACTTTATTCAAAATAGCTTACATTTCATCTTCATAGTCTTCGGCCGGGAAATGCAGACTGCACAGTCTATTGCATACGGGGTTCAGGTTCCATTGCACTTTACCCATTCTTTTTGTAATACTGGAATTACCTTTTGGAAATGCAAGAAACTGAATCTGCGATCCATTTACTTTCGATTTGTTGGAGCTGCTATTCATTTCAAAAAATAGCGCTGTAAGTAAAAAGTTGACTTTGAGCAGTTTGCGCATGCGCCGAGGCATGCGCATATTGGATTTGTACTATATAGGTACAATATGTCTGTCTCTACTAGAAGCATTGATGGTTTAAAATTCAAAGAAATATCTTTATCAATAAGAAACTTGGCATTACGCAGTGTGCGATATGTTTGTCTTTCCTAGATGCATCTATGGTTAATATTTCAAACAAATATCTCCATAAGTACAAGAGTTGGCAATGCATAACTGCGCCTATACCGACATCTGATTTTTATTATCTTCTATGTTTACCTTCATTAGAAGCATATATAGTTAAAATTTCAAAAACATCTGTAGAAGTAAGAAAGTAGACATTTTTACAAATTGTCATTTTCGTTAATAAAATTTTGAATTATTTATTTAAATTTCATATTTGGGTAATTACACATAAGCAATATCCGCGGGTATTGCACAAGTGCACGAATACTCGAGGATATTCGTCTGTTGCCAGGGTGATTTCTGTAATTTGCATTACTTAATATGATTGGTTGAAATGACAAAGAAGAACCACAGAATAGGCACAGACTACAGGGAGCGGTAGAATGAACTCCCATAGTTTGGGGATAAAAGGAGTGGGAGGTGTCTCATTCTGTTGACTGGGCGTTGAGATTAGTTAGTCGGCAATATGCCCTGGTTTGGTGAGCAACGTGGATTTAAATTATGGAAATATACAAGGGTTGGGGATTAAATCATAGCAACTATTTGTTTTGCCATTCTGATGCTGATTGGCCTTTGAGCTCTGGTTCATAAGCCGTGGCCCAAAGGTCATCAATGGCGACGATTCTCTCTGACATGGGGTCTCACCTCCCACCTTGATGAAATCGTATGCAGATGATCTTCCCTTACCTTATCTGAAAATCTTTGGGATGGTTTTTTTCTATTCCTGTTTCTGCCTGTAACTGAAGTAGTGTCCATCTTTTGTCAGATTCTATGCATTAGTCAGTGACTGCACGCGACGCATCATTTACACTTACTGGTCGTTCTGAGCGAGCGCTTGTTTCGCATCCTCTCTAAAACTCGGCGGGCCAACTCACAACGATTATGTACAAAGGGGCATTGTTTCTTATGGCTTCTAGAGCTCACTGTGGCATTCTCTAGCATTTCGTACGTGCCATACTCCCTGACGCACATTATTATTATTATTTTGTGGTATCAATTAAATGTGAGGGAGCCATGACGGTAGGCGTCACGATCGTTAGGATCTAAGTCAAACCTGTTTGATATTTCACGAACCATTTTGAATAAATTCAGTCATGAAAAACCAGCCCCAAAATAGACAGTGTTTTCATACTTTATCATCCCTATCCGTGTCAACCTGACTTTTCATTATTTTATAATTTTAAGATTCAACGCCATTCTGATCATATTTGAATTCACGGTCAATTTTTTTCGTATCAGAATTAATTTATATTTACGTTATTTACATTGTGCATTATTGACATGTCAAAGCCACATTTGGTACTCTGACAATAAATGATTTGATTTGATTTAATTTTGTTAAATAGTCGCTTTGTTTATTTTATTGTAAAATTTGATTTATCTGTTAAACGATTAAGTTTATTGTTATTGTCCTTATCACTGTGTAAGCTAACTAGTTTCAAGATATGCACATGTTATCGCTGAAATAAGCAGATGTTAATTCTTTCGAAGACGCAGTATTTTGTTAAGGAAGGAGGAACCAAAGTGAGGAAGGGAAATTGTTTTAGATAGAAGAGGAAGACGTTAATCGTGGCTTATTCGTTTTGGTAGACTCTGAGACGTAGCCGCTTTTTGTTTGGTGGGCGTTATTTGTTGCAAAACAGTCAGTTTTGCTGGTATTGAAGCTTTTCGTTAGATGCTCAGTTATAAATTTTTATAGATGAAATTCTGGTCGAGTTAAGCTCAATTTTGTGTTACATTATACACAGAAAAGTGAACTTTATAAATCGAGTTAAGCGGAAGCGTTTTTTACGGTTACGAAGAAGTTTACCCAATACCCGTTAAAGGAAATTTTGCCCACCATCAGAGGACCAATACTATTATTGTAATTAAAACGAAGTCAGTGTCGTTTAAATAGAGTTTAGGATGAAGTGAAGGAACTGAAGTTCCAAAGTATCTTCGTTTGGTGTTTGTGCGTCAGTTATAGAGATATGTAACTTAACTTTTATGGTGTCTATCTGTTTTTGTGAATGTATTATATTCTTACAATTGAACTGCTTCGTTGTAATTGGGAACTTCCTGTAATGAAGCATGGAAATAAATAATAATAATAATTAACGTAATTAAATTGAATTTGTTCTATCGATCGCTTGTTGCGTGGTATTTGTTTGTGTGCCCCAGAGTGCCTATTCCTTTTAGTTTATTTGATTGATTGATGTCGAATAAATTTGTTTCATTTATAAATGGTTAGTTTTGTGTTGAATCAAGCCGAAATTATTACCGAGGAGATAAGAGTTTACATGTTAATTTTTGTATTTTGTACCCAGGTGTTAATTAAAAAGTTTTCAATTAATTCTTGTGGAGGCGGTTAAGGCTACCGAATTTTCCAAATTAATAAGGCTTACGTCAATATTATAATGTAATGTGGCGCAATTCCCATTTATAAAAAGTTAATTTGTTAACTGATCACTGTGCAGTCAGCAAAAATAAACATAGTCACCATTTGTCCAAGTACGCTTGCCTAGCTTTTAACAAAGGGAAAAAAATTGTTTAGTTATCTAGGGATCATTATACTTATAATTATTAATAAGTGTACCATTACAGATACACCAAGGAACCTATACTTCCTTCACATTACAACATGGGTAATGAATATGTTTGGTATATTCTTCATATTAGCCGCGCACGAACATTATTCTATTGATGTGTTTGTGGCGTTTTATATTACGAGCCGTCTATTTCTTTATTACCACACGCTGTCCAATCATCAAGGTTTAGTTCAGAGGGACTACAGAAGGACGAGGATTTGGTTTCCCTTATTCTCCTTTTTCGAATCGAGCGTCGACGGGATCGTACCTAACGAGTACGACACGCCGAGCGGTATCGTGAAAAATATCTGGTGCGTCATTAAGTGTCAGCTCAATCTTCTCCGACAATTCGCATACGATTGCAGAAATCGTAGCTCTTTCATTGGCGATCGCGATACGGCGAGTACGATGGATTTTAAAAAGACCAAATAATGTAAATAAAAATTAAATTAATTATTATGTTAATGTTATTTATGAAAAATTTTAATGTTTGGAGAATCATTTATGTAGGGTAATTAATTGATCTGTTTTGAATTGCACTATTTCTTTACTCATTGGGAAGAAAGCCGCCATTTTATTTCATTGCTCAAGTTACAAGAGAACGCTTCTCTAACAGTAGAAGGTTAAAGTTTTGGTTGTTATCTTGGCTTGAATGTACTTATCATTTTTGAAATTTTTAATTATCTTTGAAATTGTACGCACAGATCACCATTTATAAATGCTTTCACAAGCAAAATATAAGTAATATAATTTTTAAAAGCTGATGCAGCATTTGAAAAATGTACAGCAAACCTACATGCCGGAATTATACAGGGTGAGTAAGCAAAATGCTAATTAATGTTGCTAAAACTGATGAAAAGTTTGATAACAAGAACACTATGTGTCAGAATTGTACAACTTGAGTGACTAAAATCCTTTAATTCTATCAATACTATTTTAATCATCTTTAGCTCTTTATTCTCATAAAAGTTCACCCAAACATGGGCTTTCCTTTAATGGTTTAAGTCGATATTCCCCAAGCCTTGAATTCGAATTAATAGTTTTGTACTGTGGTGCTATTAATTAATTAATTAATCTTTCCAATGACAGAAACTAAGAGAATGTTGATTGCTTCACTGTGTAAATAGCTTTGCTTTCGATGTACCACCCTGTATGCTACTAAATGGTTCTCCATATCGTGTTATCTACTGAATAAGGGAGGATTTATTATTGGAATTTAGAAATGTTTTTTAATATATTTCTATTTTTTATGATGTTCGTTCAGACTGTTATTTAAAAGACTTATTTTTAAGGTGTTTACACCGTGAGTAAATGTGACTATTCCAAAGAGTATCTAAACATGAAGTTTGGTAAAAATGATCTGAGAAAGATGTAAATTATCAGTTTATAGGTTTTTTCTCACACCTTCGTAGAGTAAATTGCCAATAGGTGGACATGCAAACATCGCTCAAAAATGCTCTCTTGAAACTGTTGAGGTAGTGGTAGATTCCTTCCAAGTGCATTGTTCATAAAATTTGCAGTTTACTCTACACCTGCATCAACTTAAATTGTTACGTTACCGTCACATTTTTTAATATAACATAACCAAATATTCACCATTTAAAAAAATAATTTTTATAAATATACAAATGTACCTACCTAAATATATATTTTTTTTACTTATTGTGAAATTGTTGATTTATATTTGCAGTTTCCGACATATTTTAAATGTTTTGATGTTCTATTCCTAAAAAAAGCTTTATGTGAATTTTGTACTGAATTAAATACAATACCTAGATGAATACAATTTTTTCTTGTAATAGATATGAAAATTATGAATGTTATCCTTTACCATAGTTTAGCTCTAGATACAAAGTGAACAGACGCTAAATTTGTTTGCGCGTCAAACTCAAGGATCTAGATTATCTAGAAACGAGATACATTTTTCTTATAGAGATTTGCTGGTTATTTTTGTATGTGGTAAGGGAAAAAGCTATATATATTACAAGGTTGGGATATCTGGACAAGGCCATCATCAGTCTTAAGAAATCTGGCAACATACAACTTCATGGTAATATCGCAGTAAAGAAGGAGTCCCATCATTTCTATTGTCATTATTATTATTTATTTCCATATACAGGGTGGTGACTTGCGTAACGCATCATAGGGATTTCAATGTAAAATTCATAACATGCGATTATTGGCTCCCCAAATTATTTTAGAGCAAAATTTGTAGGAAAAATTTTTTTACGTCAATCAACCGTATTAGTTTTCAATTTTTTGCATAATAAAGACGGAAAATTGGAAAAATAAAAAAATCCGCATCTTTTTCAATAATCTGCGATGCCATGGAATTTTCTAAAACAAAAAGATATCCAGTTATCAATTAGCAGCAGTTCGAAATTGATTTTATGATCGACTTGGTTACTGTCTTGCAGTTAATGGTGACTTATTCGAACATTTATTGTAAATTGTTATATTAGGAAACCGTTTTTAGTAATTTGGTCTTTCTTTATGCTGAATTCGCCGTTCTAAATATAATATACTTTTTGATTCGAATTTGATTTGTTTTATAGCAGACATTCCATGGCATGACGGATATTGGCGTAGTTTTTTGTATTATAAAATTCCATGGCATCACAGATTATTGAAAAATTTTTCCCAATTTTCCGTCTTTATTATGCAAAAAATTGAAAACTAATACGGTTGATTGACGTAAACAATTTTTTTCTACAAAAAACCTTAATACATTTTTGCTCTAAAATAATTTGGGGAGCCAATAATCGTATGTTATGAATTTTACATTGAAATCCCTATAACGCGTTACGCAAGTCACAGTTGAATGTCGAAGACAATCACGGAATTAAGTGTCGTGTAGCTCAAATTTGACTACAGTTTTTTACCACCTCATTCACGGAGAAAATTGTTAGTTACAAACAACAAGTCAGTACCTACACACATGTACATCAAACGAATTGGTAATTTCAACATATTAAAATAAAATGATCAAAACTTATATGAATGTGACTTCAGGGACAAGACAAAGTAATCAACATCAAATAAACATAAATTAAGCAAGCATTACACCAAAAACGTAAACAATTACAAACAATAGCATAACGGTATTTGATATGTCATTCTGCATTGTGGTTAAATCAAGTAAATTTCAAAAACAAAGATTCGAACACACACAAAAATAAAATGGGACATACAAGACATAAATACGATATAAAGAGAAATGCAAAAATTACTACCTGCATTAAATAACAACAAACATTTATGGAGCGACGCGTTCACAGTCGCCATTCAAAACACCCCCGTCCGTGCTTTTTAGATGGCGCATGCAGCTTTTTCCCACCTAGAAATTGCATAGTTGTCAACTCTCAAAAATGTATGTATCATCGTAAGTTGTATATACAGGGTGGAACCTTTAAGTTAAAGACAAATTATGAGGACATATTTGCAAAAAGACAAGCTGGTGAGAACATACACGTAATGGCGAGTCATTACAGCTTCCCTTCTAAATTTGTTTGTTTTGTGATTTGTACGCCTCTCATAACTGGTCGAAGTTGCAAACCATAGACACCACTATCAAACTAACGTGTGAGCATAGCCACCGACAAGTTCTTGTTGATTAATGGATAAATTGTAAATAGTAGAAATTTTCTTTTATTTAAAATGGCACGGTCTTCATCGAGATTTGATACTAAAAAAGTTGTACGTAAAGCATTTTGTAATCGGCATCCAAACTGATGGAGCTTGTGTTTCAGAACTCGGAATTGGTAACCTTAACTTATGGTTCATTAGTTGCCCAAATGGTTAAAGATGTTGAAAATCCCGATGATGTAAATAAACAGTTAGATAGATTAGGTTATAACATGGGTATACGGCTGGTGGAAGACTTCCTCGCCAAGACAGGCAGCGGCCGATGTTTGGACCTGAAAGATACCGCAGATAAGATTCAAACTGCCTTTCGAATGTACCTCGGCGTACAGCCGAACGTCGCCAATTGGAGTCCGGCAGGAGATGAATTTTCATTCATTATCGATTCGAATCCGTTGACCGATTTAGTGGAATTGCCAGAGGATTTGAAAGGTTTACGTTATTGTAATATTATATGCGGGGCAATTAGAGGTGCTTTAGAAATGGTACAGTTGGATATACAAAGTTGGATTGTTCAGGTAACTTTTTTTGTGTACGAGAGATGCCATTAACTTTATTGTTCTTCCAGGATCAGTTAAAAGGAGATGCGAATACAGAAATTAGAGTTAAATTTATTCGTAAGCTTGAAGATGCAATACCCGCAGGGGAAGAGTAGGTTAATTAAGTATTATAGCTTTATTTAGATTTAAGTTTCATGTATCTACAATCTCTATTAACTAAGTGGCGAATTCTGTACGAACTTGACTTTACTTTCTATAAACTTCGCTAAGGCTAATATCATTGGTTCACTCAAATTTCTCCCCATTATTTGTATGCTGAGAGGCATTCCGCTTCCACTTAGTTTAATTGGTATCGAAACTGCAGGTACACCTAAAAGGGGAGGATCATAAAAAGTAAATAGTTACACGCAAGAGGTTATCCATTGTGGCATTTAGTATATAGGTATTTTGCACACAGTGTGAGCGATAATTATTAATTAGCATTACCATGACGAATATGATCAGTTGATATTAAATCAGCAATTGTTAACACGGGTCTTGTATAGGTATTCATGTATCTAGTAGGAACACACCTTATATTTTAAGGGCAACAATTTCTCTAAAATATGTTTAGTAATTTCAAGTATATTTCAATAATCTACCAAGAAAAATATTGCTGTGATAACACGCATAATTTTCGAGATAATTTTAGTTTGCGTGTAAAAACGTCTGAGTGAGAGTAATGACTAAACATGGATATCCGCAAGAAGTCTGTAAAACATTTTTCTCCTCTTCCTGATGACGATGACACGGCTAAGAATTCTATGTCAGTATCACTGACTTACTGACAACTAACAGCACTACTACAGTACCTACCGTGCAAAAATACTAAATTGATATTCACTGTACACAAGTAGTGGATAACCCCTTGATTTACAAATTACCTGCCATATTAGCTGGTTGCGTGCAATAATCCTGAAAGGCACACTGATCCCTATTTGTTTTATTTTTAAACTCTTTGTATTTGGGTGCAGTTGTCAATGTTGTTGGAGTTAAAAGTACTTGAACGTCTTCCCATGCTTTATCGAAGTCATTCAGTATCAGCCTGCGTACCTTCAAAGCTTGATTAAAGTAGGCCTCGTAATTCCTGAAATCTTGCCATACTGTGAATACGAAAATCATGAACGTCAGTACCTATTTAATAAGAAATAATTTCCAGTTAAAATTCTATTCCGAACGATATCATTGAATCCTAAACTTCTCGATGTCGCGTATAACTGCTCAGTGGACGTATTTATGTCTGCCCGAAAACCAAATTCTATACCATCATACCTTGCCATATTACTGGCGACTTCACACTGATTTAAAATTGAGTAACAAACAATACTGTGTTCAGTGTTGGGCATTGATATCTGCAAAAGTGATTGTTTAGGGTGTAATCATTCAATAGGAATCCCTGTATAGAAGGTTAATACAACAGATAGATGGCCATTATTTTATATTTAGTTATAAAATTAAAGGCAGTAATTATTTAATTTAGCCCAGACCAGACCCATACTTACAAAGTTTTTAATTTATCATTCTAAACGATCAAGTTAAGGCTTGTAACTTGTCTGGTAACTTGAAAATATCAGAATGACCCTATGTTTTCTTAGTATTACAAAAGTTTGTTTATAATGATTGTGGAATAAAATGTTTTCAGAATAAGTATGTATAAAGGGTCCTGTAGAAAATTATCGGGCCTGACCTCATTTTTTTAATCGAACGCCCTATGTATTTTAATCTAAAAAGCGGAATATTAAATTTTCTTTTCAAAAATATCACTTATACCATTGACTAAATACCTTATTAGTCAATGCTTATACACAGTCTTGCTTATATCATGAATATTGTTTTGCTATTGGGCTAAAATGAAATTTTTTCCCAATAAAACTGGTATGTTGACTTAATAAAGATTGTAACTGGCTATAATCAACTGTTTAGAAATGTCCCCCCTTTGAAAAATTATAAACTAACATAAAATTTTTGACACAAATTGGTCATCACATCTCAAGAAATACATCATGGTGGGAGGGGCTTAGGTAATGTTACACTTTCATTCATTTTTAATTAGCAGTGTTCATTTTAAAGAAAAACCAGCAAAGAAAACGCATTCAACTGGCCCATTGAAAAAGGGTTGTGTCCTTCTATTCAGATTCATATTCAATGGTGCAATCAATCTTTACCTCTCTTACATCGGCTCCATGATCTTCAAGAAGTTGCGCCATCTCCTCCCAAACCTCCAGAACTTCTTCATCCAAATTTGAAGAGTAATATTCGACAGGAAGACCTACTCTCAATCCCTTAACCCCCAGTTTGTTAGCTGAAGGTAAACTAATAAATGAATAAGAATGGTACTTCGCTACTGTTTTAATCCTTACGATATCTTCCTGTACGGTTTCGTTAAAGTAGTGGAGTCTTTTGGATCGTGTCCTGCGATAACATTTAACACGGTAACGCAGTCATCCACATACCTGGTTAAAATACCGGGTACATCCATAGAATTAACAAGAGGTATTAAACCCAAACGTGAGACCAGCCCATATGTTGGTTTTAAACCTACCAACCCACAATACGAGGCAGGATTCCTTGTTGAACCACCGGTATCCGAACCAATTGCTCTGAAAATTTATGGCACTTAACCAAGAACAAATGATTAGATCCTTACGCAAAGCAAGCGCCGGTTGAAACAGCAATTGCACATCCACCACTACTTCCACCAGCTATGTAAAAATCTTCATCCTCAAAACCCCACACATTCTTCGTAGGGCCGTATATCGAATCGATAGTTCCAGATCCCATCGCAAACTGATCCAAATTACACTTGCCGATCATAACAGCGCCAGCTCCAATTAATCTATCGTACACGGTTGCACTGTAAGTAGGGGTAAAATTCTCCAACATTTTCGACGCGCATGTAGTTTTAATATTTTTTGTACAAAAGTTATCTTTCATCGCAATCGTAATTCCATCCATTTCCGATAAAGGTTTTTGTTCCCTGTAGCGTTGCGTCGACGCTTCAGAAAGGTTTTTTGCCTCGTTCCTTGTAAGCGTTATGAATGCATTGTATTTTGTTGTTTGTTTTGCACGTTTTAAACAAGCTTCTGTTAATTCCGTTGCAGTAATGCTGTTATCCTGTAAAAGCCGGTTTGCCTAAAAATAATAGGATGTAATGTATTCATACTTGAGATAGGTATAATTTTAAAATACAATTCGTAAGCTAGATGAAAGTATTCTCTCCATTTAAATGAGCTTTAAATGAGGTTATGTGGTAATCCTGCCTGAAGGTTATGTTTGTCATTGAATGATGTTTGTATTCTATTCTACACAAATAATTCTATTCTATGGTGTCGTAAACAAAACCATTGAATTTATAACTATCAAATTCAATGACAAAACTAAAAACATTGAATTTATGCTAAAAATATGGAACGCTCAATGAATAAAAAATATTCATTGGGGATGCTAATGCAATAAACAAACATAAATATTGACAAAAAATACAAAAAAGTTTGCGCAGTAAAGCCGAATTTACACGTGTCAAGTAGCTAAAGCAAGAACATTGCATGGTGTTAAAGGTGGGTTCATAGCTCTCCGTTCATACGTTGCGTTGATCCGTCAAACGGATAGTACATTTTGTTAAGGTTCATAGCAATCCGTCCACGTTGTACATTTGCAAGTATAACCATAACCTTTATTTTGTACTGTACCCTCCGTGATTTTCAGTATGTGAAAATGGTACGAAAGTAAGAACACATTGCTATCTGATTATTACCGTGAAGAACGAATAGGCGAAAGCTGTTAACATACCAAACATAAACTCACTCTTGTTAAAAACGGACCAACGGAAACGTAAATGTTCAACTTCACTTAACTTTTCCGTCGTAAACGGACGACGTACGATTTAAAAATTTGCTGTCTTCTGATTGGCTAACGGACAAACGGAAACGTATGAACGGAGAGCTATGAACTTACCTTAAACAACAGATTTACTTAGTACTGGCGCAAGTTCCTACTTTAGTAAACGGTTTAGTCAAGTGAATAGAAACAATTTCTATTTACTTGAGCAAGTTGCAACTCCCACTTTTGCATTCTAGGAACACTAAACAACTAAACAACAATACATGTAAACGCTCACTAAACTAAAAATTTTCGTTACTTGTATAGTAACTTGCTACTTGACACGTATAAATTCGACTTAAAGACAACGCGAAGCGCCAAATTTAAAAGATAGCCAGGGCCGGTCTGTAAAATATTTGGGAGTAGCTGCATATTGAGGAACGTTTAGTCTATGAGGAAGTCAGATAACGAAATGAATTTTGGGTATTCTTTTACATGGACATTACGGAATAATTTGAATTTTGCTGGCATTATTCCTTCAAACAAAACAACCGTTAATTGTATTAATAATAAGACCGAATGATCTGTGCAGATTCTACTTATTTAACCTTCTGAATCATGGTAATCTTAATTAGTTATAATTATTTCTTCCTTGGATTTTAAACCATTGTTAAGCTCATTCCATCAGAGTTAGACTGGGTCAAGCATAGAGTGACCCAGTGACCCGGTGACCCAGTTAGATTACTGACCCAGTTGACCCGGTGACCCAGCTTGACCCAGTGACCCAGTTTGACCGGGTGACCCAGCTTGACCCGGTGACCCAGTTTGACCCGGTGACCCAGCTTGACCCAGTGACCCATGTTGAATAAGCTTTATCCGGTGACCCATCTTGACCCGGCGGCCCAGTTTAAACCGTTGACCCCTAGGTTGATCCAGTTGAATCCGGTGGCCCAGTAAATAAATTATTGTTAAGATTTCATTCAATAGAACTAATACCTAAAAAAATCAAATGCATGTGTTTATAGGTAGTTTGTAGTCAAGTAGTCAATGAAAGTATTTAGAGAAAAGATTTATTGGATTAAGCTAACTAGTAGAAGAAAATTAAATGGGAATGAACACCTGTAAGCAAACTGGTAAGCCCTGAAGCAAAGAAATTAAGGAGGGAGTTTAGAAATAACGTTACTCTAATACAATTCGGGACAAGGAAAGTTTTTTACGGCAGTATTAAAGCAAACATCACAGAAATGGCAGTTGTCAAGCAATCGAGTATTATTTTCAACAAACCAGCATTAAGTTTCATTTCATAATCTGTACACTCGAACCGAGGTCACTGACTTAACTGCGTTATTCGATCAAACTAGGTTACTGGGTCAAATTGGGTCCCCGGGTGAAATTGGGTCGCTTGGTCAAACTGGGTCACTGGGTCAAATTGGGTCACTGGGTCTAACTGAAAAGAGTATGATGTGACCCAGTGACCCAGTTTAATTCAGTGACCCAGGTGACCCAGTTACCCAGTCCAACTCTGCATTCCATAAATTTCTCAATTTAGCATCATGGGTTGAAACATCCTCTCCATTAATCCAACTGAACGCAAAAAATTCTGTGCATATCTTAAACAGCTCAATTTAATTTGAATTTGGTTAATTTCCGCAATCCCATAAATTCCGTTGTATTCCGCTCGAATAACCGATGGGATTAATCCAGCAGAAATGCTGCGGTATCGATCCCTCTCTGCAGACTAAGTGAGTTAACAAATTAGACATCCACTACGTATTCAAAATGTTAATAAAGATCTTGTGCAAAACGAGACGCTTGATACCTACCTGTGAAGTGAAGACTTCGAAATTGAAAAGAAGAGACGCGGCAGACTGTCATATTGGGCTCATAATTCTGTTTTCAGAGTACAGGAGTAGGTACTAATACTCTATTTCGGTGTGTTATCCAGAAAATCATCAGGAACAAAAATAACATTTTTATTCAATAATTGAATACATGTATAAGTACTGAGATATCACAGAATAATCACCAACTTAAATTATTGCGCCTTACGATGCCTGTGGAGATGTCTTTAAAATGCACTTTTTGAAATGAGTCCTCATGTTACTACTTTGCGAAAACGACAAGCCACACTTTTCACACGAATACGGCTTTAAACCAGTGTGAAAGTTCATGTGAGTTTTAAGATGATGCTTTTTGGTGAAACTCTTAGAACATAAATTGCATTCGTATGGTTTTACACCTGAAATAATGAGGCACATTAGCTTTGAAAAAGTCAAAACCTAGGCTAAATATACCTGAATGCAGCCGCGTGTGCAAACTCATATTTGATCGATCAGCAAAACTTTTTCCGCATTCTGGGCAGCTGTATGGTCGTTCTCCTGTGTGGACGCGTTGGTGCTGTTTCAGCAACATTTTTCGGGAAAATGATTTTCCACAGGTAGGGCACTCGTGCGGTTTTAATCCTGCAAACAACGACATCACATTGATTATTCGTTATGTGGAACTTACCAGTGTGAATTCTCATGTGCATATTGTAGGCAACTCTTTGATTGAATCGCTTGGGACAGTTGGGGCAAGCATATTCTTTTCTGTCGCGATGAATCTTCAAGTGGCTACTCAAGTACCCTTTGTCGTTAAATATTTTTCCACATTCTGGACATCGGGCGGAAAATTCCTTTGTGCCCTCGTGGATAGATCTAAATTTAAAAAAAAAACAGTATATAGTCATGCATACAAACATGCACCAGTTTACCTGTGATATTTATAATTTCTCAATTGACTAAATAGCTTTCCACAGTCTTGACATTTAAACGGCTTTTGCTTGTCAGTTTTCTGGTCGAGTGCCTTGCTCTCATTTGATGAAATGCGCGAGGGGCAGTTGTTAAGAGAATTTTCCTCTTCCTTTTCCACTTTAATCGAATCGACGCAGACGTCGGGATTATTATAAGTCGTCAAGTTTTCGGCACATTTGTTCTCTTTATTCGGTTCTTTGGTGGTTAAGTCGGAAATTGGCGTGGGACTGTTCGCCGTTACCAAATTAGTATCTTTTCTAACATTGTCGGCAGCAATGTGGGACGATAATTGCAGAGAATTTATTTTGAGATTATTGTTTGTGTCGTTTGCCTTAGAGTACTTGTCCTTCTTTGTGGAGAAACTCGAAGGCTGAAACATTAACAAATTTTTATCATTTGAAATTAAGTTAAGTATTAACTTATAGTGTTAATATATTAAACAATTCTCGTAGGTGCTATGTTTTACAGGGAAATTATTAAAGCTCACAGTATTACTTGATTTTTTTTATTCTCACAATCCAGACTAAAGTTGGGTTAGATCATAGTCATTTATTTGTGTTTTATTTTACTTTTAGATAAACTCTCATAGTTGGAAGTGATCCCAAAACAGAAAATGTCGACTCACTTTATTACACTTCTGCTAGTAGAGTATTATGGAATTTTCTTACAAAAATCACGAGCGCGCGCATACATGTCAAAACTCAAGACGAAACGAAGTAGATAGTAAAATATTTAAAGCAGTGTCAAGCATTAACCCCCCCCCCCCCACAATCATTTGGTTTGGCGGTCAAATGGTTATTAAACATGCTGTCGGGGAATTACAGAAAATTTCTAGCGGAAGTGAGATAACTTCAAATTGTTAATCCAATAAATGCATAGGTAATGTGTCGAAGAAGAGACAAACGTGCGCAACAGAAAATTTTACGCTCTTCTTTTCTAAAAAGCATTACATTATACGTCGAATGGCGTTTGAAACATTGAAATAAGTTTAGCCGTTCAGCCGCAATCACCCGTCAAAGATGGGCGGGCGATTTTTACAAACTTAGCTCAAAAATTCACAATCCTCAACTTCTAACGCCTGTAGGTCGGTAAGGACTGCACCTAGGACTGCACCGATTGAAAAATGTCATAGGATCAAACTTGTAGATACTGTAATTGTGAATCAGATGCTTTTTGAAATTTGCAATTCGCTCACTCCAGTGCTGAGATATAAATTTTAAACCGAAAGAGTCCTTAGCGCTAAATCCAACGCAGGAAACTTCGCCTGAACTCCAAAAATTCTTACTTTCTTGCATTTGTTCAGGCAAAACTGAACGTAATCTACTGAATTTAAACTCAAATAATTTTAACTAATTGAGGACAAACTTTATTCACTTCATTGTACCTATTCATAACTTTTCACTAAGTTTCTGATTTTTTCGGTTCCAGAACTGTTCACTGGACATGTAATTTGAAGACAGTAGGCAAACCATGGCCTGTGTAACTTGTTTTATATCCGGGAATGTAGTGCAAGAGGGCGAGGATAGAGGGATATTAAAGGAAAAGTAACTTCGAACGTTCATTGAGGCCAGTAGGAGGAGAAATGATGGGCATCATACGTGGTTACAGACTCAGAAATCTGTCATCCTTCACTAGAAGTGTCGCAAAGGTGTCTACACGAAGGAGTCTAACATTGTAAAGGCTGAAAAAGAAGCAGGAAACGGAAGCCGTGTGTCTTGTCATACGAACGGCTAAACTTATTTCAATGTTTCAAACGCCACTCGACGCATAATTTAATGCTCTTTAGAAAAGAAGAGAGTAAAATTTTCGGTAGGATAAGTACTTTTCGAGTTATAAGCGAAATGGTAAAAAAAGTGCAAAAATTTTGCGCTTTTTAGGCTCTCAAATCTGACACACAACTTAGAAACCGTCGCAAACTCATATACCCGTTATTCAGGACCCCCAAAGGGGTTACAACGATTTCCAGCTCTTGAGCAATTTTTAGGAACTAGACCCCCTTTTAGCACTTATATTCTTGATAAGGAATGAAAGTGTGTGCGGTTCATTTGTTCTATGAAATGTGATATCCCAAACTTCAAGAATTTTCTAGAAGCTTTTTATTTGCTATATAATCAAATTGAATAGTGTTTATATACTCAGTGTTAATATTAATATCGAAGTGATAAATGATAAAATCTGTACACGTAAAATAAGACAATGAATTGTAAATGCCTAATTAGTTATATTTATTTTTCATTAACAATCAAATCGTTGGAACATTCCTTTTAAATGTTCTCCCTTAAAGGGAGAACTATTTTGTAAACTTTTTAGGCGCCCTAAAACGATCCTTAAAAGCGGTTAGGTTTAATTTACGGTACTTCCTCGGCGACCATTTGACTCAGTCCAAGCCTTACCTAATACGTACTTATTTAAGTTATGACCATACAATATACAGGATAAGTAAAAAGTCCCGAAACGGTATTTCGTTATTTATGAAACAATTAAAAGATGGTGTGCTTATACATATACATGAATAACCAATATTAATGGATTTAGTAATCGCAATGTCTTCTATTTACGACTTACGGTTTAGTCTGAAATTACCTTAACTTTTTTTAATGCACCCTGTATATTGTATTGTTATCGGACGCAGAATAAAAGACTACATATGAAACTAAGGCTTTTGCTTTATTTAAAAAGTAATTAAAAAAACTGGAAAATAAACAATACTTGTAGCAAAGCGCATATTACCTGGCACCATTGAAATAAAAGGCTAAGGAAGGGGGGTTACATACATATAACCATAATGTAAGTCTAAAGCACCATTTTGAAATACATCTACTTTTGAGATTTCCTTTTGACAGTGAATGGTGTGATTTCGTTTATAAGAAGTGATGGATCTTGTATGTAATTTCAGTACTATCTGCCATAAGATTAAATATATTAAATGTGTGTACGCCACTGTGCGTATGAACGTCCGGCATATTGAGAAGCCTAATAGGATCCTAGCTAATATACATAAGCTCCTTCCTGAGTCTTTTACTTTCAATGCCTGGAACTAACTGGAAGTCGGAAAAGAAGACATTCCAATAATTAAATGCCTTAGTATTGGTCATACAGTGATATTCATTACGAAGGAGACATAGGGATTTGCGTATATTGTTTTTCCCTGTTTTTCCTTATGTCTACTTTTAAATGGCACAATCACATCTGAAGGACGCCTAATTTTATGCAACCAAAATAACTCATGCGCACTGTTATTCTGGATTTTGCAATTATATTAACTTACATTAGTGGATTTCAATCGCATAATGCAGACGGTGTGATAAATGTTATGCTCCTTTTAAAATTTCACTATTTCAGCAAAAGTTTAACGCACCTTATTAAGAGTCCATATCCTTCTGTCAACAGCCTTGCTTTTTAGATAGGTTTGTAGGTACTTATAAAAGCGACAGTAAAGAGCAGTAAGCTTTTAGGCTATGATGAAGGAACATTAATTAAATTTAGCCGCTATTTCCCTTAAGTTTCTTATGGGATTCCTTTTCATAAAAATTAACATGATTTTTTGATATCCTCCGTTAAAACTGAAGGTTTTGTTTACGGTGTCTTATGTGCATCGCATTTAAACAACAATTAATTTTAAAGTGATCAACAGGTATACCTTGTGTTCAAACAATAATACAATATACGGGGTGTCAATTTTAAAACTTGCAGTCGGCCATATTTTCCAAAGTAAAGAAGATATTGAAAATCGCGCAAAACCGTTTCGGGGGTATCGAGGAGGAACCAGAATGACGTTACGTGTGACAACCCCTCATTAATCCCCCAGCTCCCTCTTCAATAATCCTAAATGGCAACCCCATACTTGTGACACATCGTTGGAAAGCTACTAAAAAATGCTTTCCAGTGGTACCAATACACTCAATATTCATTAAGATAATTTAACAAAAATTGTCTAATTAACAAAAAAAAACTAAATGTCGACATTGAGGGATTTATGGCCAATTGGCCAAGAACTTCAACTTGAGCTGCTTCATTAAGCAATCTTGGTTGCTTTCTTTTTTTATCGATAACAGATCCCGTTTCTTCGAATTTAGCTACTAAATCTTGAACATAGGCATGGCTAAATTTTTATTTTTTTTTGTTAATTATTAAATTTTTGTTAAATTGTCTTAATGAATGTTGACTTTATTGGTTCCACTGGAAAACATTTTTCAGTAGCTTTCCAATGATGTGTCACAAGTATGGGGTTGCAATTTAGGATTTTTGAAGAGGGAGGGCTGGGGAGTTAAGAGGGGTGGGGGGGTTGTCACTCGTCATTCTGGTTCCCCCTCGATACCCCTGAAACGGTTTTGCGCGATTTTCAATGTCTTCTTTAGTTTGGAAAATATGGCCGACTGCAAGTTTTAAAATTGACACCCTGTATAAAAGGTATAGGCATAGTATGGTATAGGCCTTTCTACATACACCGAAAATAAATTTCTTACGCTCCTTGAACGGTTACTATACCAACTATACCAATTAGCAATATCAACTATTTTTCATTTTTTATATATTTTTTTCGCTCACCAACGAAAGTACAAATACAGAAGCCAAAATAAATATTCAAATTAATTAATATGACAGCCCGTTCTTCAGTTGTTTTAAACATTTTTTTTTGGTTGCATAATATTGGGGGTCCTTCAGAAGAGATTTTGTTATTTAAAAGTAGACATAGGGAAAACAATACAGGATGATAATTGTATAGTGTGCAAAATCTGCAACAACGGCATAATTTTTATTTTACGCAGGGTCAATGTGTAGATACAGAGAATTCACAACAAAAAAGGGCCTCTTTAATTAAAAATAATTAATGTAGGTAAAAATGGGTAAACTTATGTGAAACTAAAATAATCTGGCGGATACTCACGTCGTTTACTACAGTATGATCATCGCGGGGATCGGCCAACAATGGAACCACCCTCGGGCACCAGGGGCTCGGAAAAACGCGATTGTAGAGACCTTTCCTAATTCCATTACCATTTCCACGCAAAGCCGCTATAGGCATTAAATTCGGGATTCTTCTCGTCAACTTTTTCCCACATTCCTCTTTGATTAAAGACTTACACCGGTCCACAAGTTTCTTTTCCGACCACTGCGAACCGCGCTCCAAAATCTCACTCTTGTTGCCGTCGCATAAATCGCTTTCCGAATAATCGTGATCGAGTTGCAGTTTCAGTAGCGCAACTGTACTTAGAAATTCAGATAGTTTATAAGACGGTATGGTCACGTTTCCATTGTAGATGTAGTGGAGCACGAGAGACATTACGCTGCCGTCCACGTCTGGAAAAATGAGCACGGTCTTATCGGTTGTATCTTCTTGCAGAAGTCCCTGTAATGAAATACTTAACAGTAGTTTATATCGTTAATGTACAAAAGTGGCGGAACTAAACGGACAGGTAGCGTGCGAGAATGTTTTACGGTTTATTTAAGCGGTGACAGTTTGATTTATTGAATCTTCATAGACTGAATTAATCTTATTTGTAAGTGCCACCCAGCGGTGTGGTCTGATTTTAAAGGTTCCATTTATTAATGTGAATTTTTTGGTAAATTCAGTTTTGGGTAATTTTGGTTAAGAATCGTGTGTGGCATTTAAATATTGCATTGTTTAGTAACAACTACTTTACCTTATTTGATAAATTGAAAGTTCGATAGGAACTTTGAGACCTCTGGTGGCTGGTTCGAGCTAAAAACTTTTTTCTTCCACTATGTAGGGTCATTAAATAAAATTTTTATTCAATGGTAGGATGTAAAACTACATTTACGCAGAACATTACACCATTTATTTAACTAATATATACATTATTGTATTTACATATGATGAAACACCTTTTATTTAAAATTGAGCACTTTTAGTTACCCGCTCTTAGTCTTTTTCCCAACGCTTTTGGACCATAAATAACCATTTTGACATATTTTGACCAAAATCCGTGTGGTTGCCAAAAATGCATCAAATTTATGTCTTGGGCATTGAGATAATGCTTTTAGTTCTTGGTGCATAAATACCGATTTTGACATGTTTTGATCTAAATCCATGTGGCATCAGAAAAATAATTTGACATCTTTAAATCACACACATGCAGTTATCGAATGTACACGTGATGTACTCTTTCAGCATCAAAATAATGCGTTTGAAACCTTTTACAACTCCAAATTTATGTGTAAAGAACAATTTGGGTACATTTTACTCTAAAACGTTTGAACTAGACCACAGAGAATTGTTACACATTTAAGAGCAATAGGGAATAATCTAGCGAAAGTCCGAACTCGATACATGACCTAGGGAATGAAATATATTGATTTCTATTATATTGAGCCCGCAGTTTTTCCTGTTCCCGATTCACTCGAAGTCTTCTCGAAGTCCTATAACTTTTATTCCTGTTGAACCAGCTTTTTGAAAATCAATAGCGTCCGTCCTTAATGTCCAAAGTAGCCGTGCACCAAATTTCGTTTTCGACACAATCGGTCACTTTTAAAAGGAGTTGTAGCGCACACGGACGGACGGGCGGACGACAATACAAAATTATAAGGGATTTGAGGATCCTTAATAAAGATCGGTGGTATTGTAACGAAGCAACCGTTTTGATGCAGGAATTATATCAGCCTTATTGAACGCACTGTACATCGAAGGAAACCACCAGCTTTAATAACCACCCGATATATGACAGATTTTATTTTCCCAATGTTAAGCGAAAACGAACAATAAAGCTCCAATGCCGTGCAGTTTATTCCATTATCGCAGACCTTTTGCGATTGATCCGAAATTTCGTGTAACAATGGGTAATGGGCATTACTGGGCTACTGAATTTGGAAATTTCAGCTCTGCCATTTGAGTCAGGGTAAATACCGGTAGCTAATTGTAGCAAATCGTAGTCTGATTAGATTGTGTCTACTCCGAAATGAAGCGCACTCAATAAACTTGAATTTCATGATTAGTCCCAGATTTTTAAGATGCCAGGGAGCCTCTGGAAATTAATAAATAAGTTTTAATTTTTGAACCTTATCACCCCAGTACGCCGCCCGGTTGGGAAAGTTCCATTTCCATATTTTTTGGAAATTTTCTATACGGTAACAGCATGACTTAGGGGGAATCTTTCGATATCTCGTCATTTTGCATAGCGCGTTGTGTGCATTTTAATGTTTAGTGAATTTTTTTCCCGTGTCGCTTAATTTAAACTGTAATCGTTTGATGCTTTTCTATCCGTTATTTATAAAGGGGGTGCGTTTTTCTTGTTTCGTTTTCCCGTAGCTAGTAGATACAGTTAAGTTGTGCTTCCGTTCCGATTCGGGAAATTGCTACGTGTGTCGTAATTCTGTTTTAGATCTAGTGATGGAGTTTTCCGATCTTCCGTTTGAGTACCCATTACGTAATAATCAGCAAACCAGACGAGTTCAAGTGACAGTTTTCAAAATACGTACGTAAAAGTTTGGGTGCGGCAGTTTTTTCATTGAAGTTGTCGTTCACTGTTTGCGGACAGCATTCGACTCATCTGTCGTGGTTGGGCAGCCACATTAATTCAACTGGAGTAAAATTACGTTCCTGTGACGTTAAAGTTAAAGAAGAACAAGGTAGAACAAGGAATGCCGATCGCAGAAATTACGTTGGTTCCGTTTTGATCTTATCATAAATAGCGGAGTAAAATTTTCTGTCTCGCAACTCGAGTTACGTCGTCAAAATTTGCCTCACTATGCGGAGCTCGGCGTCGTCGGTTGTCTCACTATAGGACAGCTCGGCTTCGTGGTTGAAATGCCTCACTATAGGCTTGATCCCCCTGCTTAGAACAGATCACAGCAGAATGAAATCTAATGTTTGTGCGCTGCCTTATAAAGCCCTATTCGGTGGGGATGATTTTTCGCACTGCTTGGAGAAAAACGCCGTGCTGATTTTATTGAAATCATGCCGTGTTGATTTTGCTTCTAATTGTGGTGTGATGCGTGTCAGCTACCATATGTAACAACACACTATTTTTGAATTACCCTAGTAGTTCAAATTCGCGATTTAGTTTTGTAATTAAAATGCCACTAAACTTTGAACGCACTTTTTTTCCACAAAAATTCTTCTTTACGTCCGATTATATATAATCGATTTTTTAAACTTATTCGTGGATCTTTTGTCACAAAACTGTAAAATCCCCCGGTAGAGAGTGTTGACTTAATACTAATGGATTAATTTGCAACTCCCAGCGGCTTAGAACTGAATTCTTTCTACTGCCATTTCAACGCGATCTCTTTCGTGGCTTGACTAGTATTTTTCTACTACCTATGTAAAAATTGAGGTAAAAATCCACCCCGTGCACCTACGAGTGACTGCCTTTAAACTTTTTTAAGCACTAAGCGAGTACTACCATGGCCTAATGCTCCCGGCTATTTATCCAACGACTTAATTCCCATCAGTTTACAACCACATTCAAATCAATTCTATTAATTAGCTAACTTCCATTAATTAATGAAACTCATAGAAATCCAAACTGGCAGTTTCCATCAAATCGACGTCTCAAAATTCCCAAAGACTTAGGCAAAAATAAACACCCTGATAACGGGTGGGTCTGGTTCGACAGGATTGTCACGTAAATTTTAGTTAATTTCGTTTTAAATACCAACAACACTTTCGCACGCTTGACAACACCGTACGCGAAACCCCTTCGGGCAAAAAATGCAACCGCAAAATTTTGACCTTCCCTATAATGACATTAGAAAACCACCCGTAGAATCGCTTCTGCTATTTAATTCAAATTGAAATCGCGCCCCAAAAAAATAAAAATCCTAAACAAAATGCGTTAGCGGGCTCCCGCTACAAAATAAATGTATTCAGCTCTGGATTTTTCAGATTTTTTGCTGTCTTCAATCAAATGCTCTTATTTTAGTGACTTCACGCGCCTAGGTACTAACTACGTTGAGATGCCCCAACCTTAGCAACGTCCTTTGAATATGATTGTCTATGCGTGAAGCACTCTATACATCATGTTAGTTACAAAAGCTGCTAACCGAAATCGGGTGGGATTATAGAAAAGGGAAAGAGAGCGAAGATGAGACGGATGGAATTTCTCGGAAAACCACATGTGTACCATTTCAAACACCTGCAGTCCAGTTTTTTTCCTAGAAATGCGTGAAATGCAGGGAATGGGCGGTTTTCGGGTCATTTTTAGGGGTGTTAAGAGATCCAGTTACAGCGTCGCCTGGGGAGGTTAATAAATACGATGTAGAGAATGTGTTCATGGTCTTTTTCTTGTAACCGGCTTCAGAGTAAAGTAGGGCTTATATATTATATATATATGTTTTTGTTATACTTTATTGCTGTGTGCTTTTGCTTTTTATATCAGGTGAGGTATTTGCTTTATTCAATTAAGCTCTGAATGTGTTTAACTTAAATGCACTTTATTTATGTACTTACTGGATAATTCTGTATCGATGATTTGTACTTTTAATGTGTAACCTTTGCTAGTTTTTATAATCATGTTCCATTGTCGGTAGGGCTGTGTCCATGGTGTACATATTTGCATGTGTTCTGATATTTGTGTATTTTGCTTTTTAGTCACTCTCGATTATTTCATTGCATTTCAATCAAGAGGGAAGTGTGCTTGTTTAGAGGGGATCAAGCTATTCAAGTGTATACGGGCCTTGGTGAACCAAACACTAACATTTTCACTCGTTCCGAAACCCAACAACTTTAGCCCACGTCTACAGGCACCCCACTGGGCCTGGGTAATCCTATCGCCCGGCGAGGTACATTTAATATCTCTTAGTTTTGTCTGATGTATGTGTTGTAATACCTGGGGAATGGCTCGTTTCCATTTTGGTTACTCATAGCGTGTACGTAGTATTTACCCCTGTTTTAAGCGAGAATATTCAAATAGGCAGCAATGTTTGGTGTTCCCGCTACTACAGAATATGGTCAAATATTCCGGCGTGACTTGAAGTTGGTGTTAAACCGCCAAGATAGTAGGAGGCTAAGATCATTACAACGTCTTTCATAAATTTGGCGTAGTTCATATTCAAAGGCAAATGTCATAACCTATAAATTCGGTAACGTAATAAAGTGCAAAATTCTAGATGATCACCTTTACAGCTATTAATCTTCTTTAAGAATTAGAAATTTGATAACTTTGCCTCTAAAACTGGCAATACATTTCATCCTTCTAAAAAACTCTAAAACTATACGAAACAAGTAACCTAGTTTAAAAATTCACTGTAGAGAGTTCTGCCTTACGTTTCACCCAGATTGAAGTACTTATTAAATTGACACTTCTTCAGCTTTTCTTAGGTCAAGGTGCGTCGTTGTCGGTAAATAAATTAATTCCTTGCAGTACATATTATGTATATACGTGAGAAAAAGTAAGTACACTGTACATACATAACAGTACATCTAATGTACGTGCGGCAAAGTACGTACCTAGCATGTACAAAGCTATGTGTCTCAGTGGTAGAGCGTTGGGTTACATAGCCGGAAGGTCGGGTGTTCGAACCTGAACTGAGGTAAGAATTTTTCATCTGTGGCAGAGATAGGGATTTCCTAAAATCAGTTTCGAGCATTGTGCCGGCTATTGCGAATTAGGTTTTCCTAATACCGTAGTAGTGTAGAAGAACTTAATACTTTCTGCATTATGTGGGTCACTCTGTAATTGGGCGTAAGCCTGTTGGTCTAGAACAAGAGGGACAATAAATAAAACGGTAGTGCAAAAATAAGGTGCCATGTACGTGAAATGAACGGTAAGTGTACGTGAAATGTACGTCCGTAAATCCAGCTCTGTACGTACTATGTATTTGCAATGTACGTACTTGTGTTATTTGTGTTCAGGTGAAAGAAAAGTAATGATTGAGTGGCTTCATCCTGTGCTGACTCCCTTCTTTTTGAAAATGCTTTATTTAGACCACCGAAAACCCTGGATTCTCGGCAAGACAGTTTGCGAAATTTCCGATGTGCCCAAGTCTGAAGCAAAATCTGCACACCGCTGCTCTAAATTAATGACACAGATTTCTAAAACGAATTACAAAAACTGACCTGTGCTGTGTGCGTATAACATGTTCACCTAGCGTCTCAGTACTAGAGTACCTACTTAATTTACACACCTCGTATTTATTATACTCGTATAGTTCCAGGGAACGTCAAAATTCAGCTGGAATGTGGAGAACACGCGAATCGGAGATTTGAAATTGATTTGTTTTTTGGGAGGAAATAACGCAATTGATAATTAATTTTAACAGTTTGCCGGATCGAATAGAAAATAGGCGGATCCATTATTCAGACTTTGTAATGAACAGGTCGTTAAACGCATAGCCTTCGGACAGGTATTTAATTATATAGGGGCATATTATATAGTTATATCACGCATGAAAATCTAATCGAATTGCACGTAATAGAACCAAATGTATGAAATATAGCAACAGGTTTTTGAAGGCATAATTAAGGTCCACCCCTATGAGGCGTACCTACCGCATAGATATCATCAGTACAGAGGTCTGCAACGTTACTTTAGACAATAATAGGTCAATTAAAATGCCTATTCTCGTTTGTGTATGCTCACTCACCTGCAAAATGGGACTTGCTATGGAAAGGATAATTTTATGTGCCATCAATTTGTCTCCTTTACAGCTTAATACAACGTCACATTGTGACTCAGTCCTAAGCGTGTGTAGTTCGCCCTCTCGTATCACATTTTCCATTACTCTGAAACAATAGCAAAACATTTTATTTGCTTAGCAATAATAAATTTCTAATAATAATTTGTCGAAAAAAGAGCCGATCTTATTTTTGTCTTAGGGCGTTTGCACACTAGGCGACAGCGACACGATTTACCGCATGATGCGATATACCGCACTACAATCGGGGGTTCCTTGTACACATAGCGATTATATTTATGGGACCCCAACCTGCACGCCAGAGGCACCCACAGGTCTTGAGAACCGTAACGGGAGTTCGCTAGAGCAATCTACTTATTTCGACTTTCTTTTAGAGAAATTTTGGGTAATATTACGACCGCGTAAATTTTCCTCTGTACCGAAAAGACTTCACATACCAACAAATACTGATCTTGACTAGCACATTTTTTTTAAATTTATTAATTCTTTTATATAAATTTATAAATTTATTATATATATAATTTATTAATTCTTACTTTTCCTTTGGGTATAGGGTTTCCGAGTGCGACCTTGGCCAGTTAGATGCGCCTGCAAGTTGGAAGCCTCAAACTATCGCGACATTCCTCGGTAAAATTACAAGCGGATTTTGTTTATTTTCCAGTGGTCATTGTCAAGCTTACTATGCTATGTATAGGGCATGGCAATCAGTGTAGGTTCGAGGTATCTGGCGTTTTGGATTTCTGGAGATATCATTGCCTAAAAGAAATCAATGCTATTGGTGGAACCAATGGACAAGATCCAAGTACCTCTCGCGTTGCGTTTTAAAAAAAATGGTTTAACATTTTAATTTTCTCATGTACAGGGTGGTTCACATTCGTAGTTCGGATTTCTGTAACAATAAGATAGGTACAGTGTAAGTTAAATGGGGGCAACGTTTCCTCTTTTTGTGACTAAAAAAACGCATTTCAGACTTTTGAAAAATTTCACCGAAAAACTGAAAAGTTTAAGCTAGGGAAAATCAAATCAAAGTTTGACGTTTTCAGTTTTTCGGTGATATCTCCCTTATTTTCAAAGATTTTTCAAAAAATGCATTTTTTCGTCACAAAAAAGCGCAAAGTTGCCCCTTTTTTACCCTACGCTATATCTCCTACCTTTACGGAGATCTCAATTAGCTAGTTTAGCGAATTTTTATTAGTGCATTTTTAATACGAGATAATGCGAATGTTAGACTATCTTTCGTTTCCTGCCTTGCTCGTATCTTGTAATTTGCCGCGTTCAAGTTTAGTTGTAACCGGATGGTGCGTGAGTTGTTCAATTAGTGGGATCAAGTCTGAACACTTATCGCTCATGTGGAGGATATAATTGAATTAGGCGGATACGTGAGTAACGACCATTTTCTAATCACCTACGTTTTTTAGTATTCTTCACGTAAACTTCAAGTCAACGATACGTTCACTTTCCAACACAAGTGTTCATTTCTGTTGGTGTTTAGCTGTCCATTGCATGCTGCCAGGATGGGTTAACTTTTCTTTTCTGGAATCAATCAAGTTTGTGATTACTGTGTAATTCCTGTTCAAGGAATAGTAACAATGTTAATTTACTTTAAACGTTAAACGTGTATTATCTTCAATAACCTTATTGATACATGATCGATTTAAGTTTGCAACTGATACGAACATGGATATGCTTTTTCCTTCAGAGATTGCATACTGTATTAACGTAGTCGATCGTGGATCGGGATAGAGGTAGTCTTCAAGCATCCGTCATTTTAATCACCGAGTAGATTCGCTCGGGTTTGCGTCGTTTCCGTTAGAAATGAATTATGGACGGCGAATCCTTCAATGCTGAATTCGGAAAGTGGGATAAAATAGATTGCACAGCGTCATTCAGTTTGCCGACGGTTTGCGTAATTTTGTGCAATCGCGTAAAATTTCAAAAAGGCCGAGTAAACTAAAACGGATTTTGGTTTTTTATTTAATATACATAATTATTTGAAATTTCGATTTAATTTTTTTTGTTTGCAATCTAGTGGTTTAGAGCAGGAGCGCGACGAGTTGATAATTTTTTTCGAGTACACAGCAAAGGTCTACTTTCTTAAAACGCAATTATACACGAGATTAATAATTATATACATACATTTTTGCGAAAGTTTTTAACAGTCTTCGGCTTAAAATAGGTTTCACACTAAAAATTTGATACTAAATATATATATAAAAATATATAAAAATAATTAAGAATTACTATTAACATACGTTTATCTCAATTGACTGCGCCTCCATTTACAAGTTAAAGTGCCATGTCGTTTTAAGAAGGGGCCATACACACCGTAGAGATCGTTCCAAAGCTAAAAGATTCTTGCGCAGAGACCAATTTTGGTGCGGATGCAAATGTACCTTACCTAGAAATGTTAGGACTTGTTACTTTATGTTTGACCTGTTGACAGCTGTTTTACAATTTATTCGAGTATGTACAAAAAGACGGATTCTACTTTAACTGTGATCATAATACAAACGCACTGCAATCCATCATATAGGCAAAATGATAAATAATCGGAAACGTAATTACATGTAAAAAAACATATGTCCAATAGCATTTTAACACACGAGACTACCAAAATGCCGGGAATGTCAACTGAAAAATCTGCAAAATCGCAAATCATGTTTGGGACGAATTTTTTATTAGAGTTTAGTTAGCTTGATCTCGAAATCCCGAATATACCCGACGCGCATCTCATCACTGTTTAGCCTTGGAACGATCTCTACTATGAATTGATGGATTTCCCGATCACTGTGGTGTCATCTTGTGAACATACAGTGTGATATATAATTATCACTGTAGCAGCTTTAGGGGAAAACGAGCAAGTGTTTGTACTACAATAATCAAAGTCACTATTGTTTTAGAATCCTCCACGTCGGTTGCAATGAAAGTAAATAGGTATAATCATTCAATGGTATAATGCTACTTTATTTACAACCGGTACCGAATCGGCATTCATAGCTGGATCAAAAGTATGATGTGCATCAGTAGCTGCTATAAAGCCAAGTATTTCCCACTAACATTCAGCATTCTTTGTATATAGTATCTATACGAAATTTGGCGTTGTTCCTAAATTACTATATTGCGGGATAGGTAACATTAACACACCACGTTATTTACTGTTAGTTTTTACTCATACCTATACTAATATATCATCAATATCATAAACACACTTTTTCTTAATTTCAAAACCAAGTCTTTCACTTTGATTAGTTAGTTTCTTTAGTTATTCTACGACCATGCAATAAAAATCTAGGTAATTGTTGTAAATTAAGGTGTTAAAAGATATACACGAGATGAACTTTTTTGTTTTCCTCAAAACAGTTATTCTGTAAAAAATCGTTACTTTATTACGGGATTGTTTAGTAGGTATTCGTTTTAACACCAGAACATTAAATTACGTAAGTAGTTTTAGTTGCGTTTTTATGAGTTTCCTGCTATTTATTTGCGCAATTATTTCTAATTGTAGGTAGATATCACATAGGCTGACGATGCTATGAACTGTTTTGCTGGAAACCCAGCGGAAGGCCCTATTATCTCATGGGTATTCTAAGCGGTACTTTATAATTAAAAATTCATTCAAGTCCATACAAATCAATACGCGGTACGATCAACCGAAGGCATCTTATTTGAATCGTCATGTAAAGTAGGTAAATGAAACGATGACAGAGACTTTTAATGATAAAGGAATGCCACATTTTCATTTTCGATACATACTTATTATAATTATTAATATGGACGTATACACATCTCTACACGTGTGTCGGTACATTACGATCTCTCTTATAAATATGTATTCGCAAAAGAGTGAAATTTTCATATAGAGTGATATTCATGTAGAAGTAGAAGTAGGGATTTCCTGTCTTCTGCAGGACGACCAATTTTGTGCAACCAAAATCACTAATAGATAAAGTGAAACAGAAGATTGTGCATTCTAATGACATCAGTCACTCTTATTTCAAATGGGTCGCGAAGCACGATATAAAATGATGTTCTAAACATATGACAATGCTGTTTCTATGCAAAATGGCGCGACGGCAGAACGTAATCTTGCTATTTTTGACGTCTAAATTAAATTCAGAATTTTCAGAAGCTTTACAATGATTTCTATGGCTTCTGCTATAAAATAAATATTCCGCCTGTAACGTTATTTTCCTTACCGTTTGATATTCCGATTTGGATTCCGCTTAAGTAGCTATTTGATTCGCATTCCTATTTAAATTCTTTACGGTCTAATGTAAATTTAGTATGCTTAGTCCATCTAGGGACCTTCTTTGTAATCCCCTAGTTTAGATGTAAATTGATTTCTGCAGTAGATTTCTTAGTTCTTTCTTTTACCGTTATAGGCCCTTTACTCACTTTTTTGTCTTGTTGGTAGAGCTCACGCTTTGTACCTTTCTGCACTTAATTCTAAGTTCTAACCTATCTTTTCTTTCTGCTTGCGCGCAGTTGTAGCTCTTTCCAGTGTTGCCAACCGTAGCCGAATAGGGTTTCACTGTAACCGGTAACCGTATTTATCCTAATTGTGGCCGAATCTCAAATTTTATCATTTTTTCACTTCATTTACACTTTCTATATCGATTTCTTGATTGTTTCTACGCATTTTAAGCCTAGTTTTCATAAACGCGAATATCGCAACTTTTATCAGCGATATTTCGCGCGAAAGTTCGTTTTGCAGTTGGAACTTGAAAATAATATGTTAACTTTTTGCGAATATTCGCATTTTGTAACAAACATGCGAAATTCCCGTCCATTTAAACTAGGTTTAATCGCGGGTATAACATTCTACATGGGGCTGTCGCTTACTACAGGTTTGTGCTTATGCTTAGGTCAAAATTACACACTATGACCACAGGTGGAGGTTATTTGCAGGCTTACTTCATTTGTAGCCGGAAAAAGTAGAGTGTAGCCGAATTTCCCGCAGCCACCACAAAAAAGTTGGCAACACTGGCTCTTCCTCTTCAGTAAAGTTTCTACCTTCGAACTAATTAGATGCAAATTTTCTTTTGGTACGCCATTACATTTTCTGATTACGTGTTATTATACCTGTGAAAAGTGATTATTGTTTTGTATTTACCATATTTATCTTTGGAGTGGTTTTCTCTTTCTCTCTTTGCTGTCTATAGTGGCTCCATTGGATCGTTTTACGGAAGTGATTTGCATTTGAACAATACGAGGTATGCTACATTATTACGCGGCATGTTTTTCGTAATACGTGTAATTTTTAGGTCTTTAACTTCCCTCACCTTTCTCTCACAAGTTCTTATCGTTTTTCTTTTGTATTACATTTTAGGTTTTGATTTACCTGGACATTACCAGCAAGCTTGGCAGCACCGAACGATGCGGTAATTGGAGGTTCTACATTACTGACTTGTGAAATTCTACATTAACCATGTGAATCTACTTCATTCTACCAACATTACTACCTACTTCGAGTGAATTTAACGTCACTTTTATTCTGTTGTACGGACAATTCTAGTCGATCAAAATTTTACTTTTACTAGTGTAGTCATTCGATTTATTGATTCATTTTGAGTATTATTTACAGTTTTAGTATCCGATTTACCGGCTTAGTGTCAGACGTTAGACATTACTATTTCGCAATATTTTGTGTGCAGCGCAATTTACTACCCCATTTACTTGTTTGTTGTATTGTTGTCTGTTGTAGATTTACAGAACGCGCCTTTCTGAACTCACAAGGTTGTGGCCCCAAGTTCAAAGGTAATCTTTTTTTTAATTATTGTCTACTCCTTGATTAACGTTTGATTACATACTTACTGGTTTTCGATACAATCGAATTGAAATACATTTGCTTGATTTTCATTTAACGATTATAGCTCCGCTGTTTTCTGCAGACACTTGCTTTAATACTTTCCCCTTTTTACTAAAAATTAATTTAAATTCAAATATGGACATAGCAGACCTATATATTACAGTGACCTGTTTGTAATATTTTTGAGATCATTGATTGAATCACAATCGATTGTGACGTCAATTATTGTTATATACCCCTTTCAGGTGTTTTATTCCTTTAGCTTAGTAAGACCCAAGGATCTCTTAGTTTGCCTATTTTGTAAGTATTTTCCACTCTCTTGTGACATTTACTAAAGACTAAGTAGCGCTTATCCGGTTTACTTTGACTACATTTCCCTTTTTGCTTATTTTTGCTAGTATACAAGAACCTCAATATTCACCCCGACCCACCTCTACTTTACCTGACATTACCGTGTGCTTATCTCAAGGCAATTTTGTTACATCTGCCCAAAGTGCGCGTATCACGCCTATTGATATTTCCTGGTGAATTTTCTTTGGAAATATGCTATCAGAGCAACCCGTAATCAAATGTTAATGTTCTTAATACCGTAAAGTAAGGTAATCGCACTTTTCTTGCATCTGCCTGTTCAACTCATTATACTAACCATTTACTAACCGATTAATTCCGAGTTGAGTATTATTTATAACTTGAAAATCGATTAAAATGCACGGCTCACAATTAA